AGATTCTGGTGTTGTTCTCCACCTCGGATGGCTTCTTCCAACATCTCCTGCAGCTCCTAAGGCCGATGCTGAAACCACTTGGAAGCCCAGTTGCCATTGCTCCTCCTTCTTCCTCAAAGGGATAAGATTCTGAGTTTTTTCCTTTTAAGACTGTCTAATGCCAGTCTGCGTATGCCCACAAGGCCTCTCACACCTCGGTGGTCCTTCAGATGCCAGTCCACACACACCCTTGTGGCCACTCCCTTCAGATGGCCTTGGGCCCACCATCTTGGTCCTCCATTTTGAGTCCAGTTGAGGTGAGATTACTGTGTGGTAGGGGATGCCCAAGAAAGGGTTAAGTTGCCAGAAGCAGAGTCCCGCCCTTGGGTTTGCTCAGCCAATCAGAGTCTGTCCTGATGAGGTAAAGCTTCTATCCTGGGTGGCATTGGTTGAGTTGACTGGCCCCATCTCCTGCTGGAGAGAGCCGTAAGGGTGGAGTTTCTGTGGAACCAGACAGAACTGGAATTAGCTCGCTGTCTACTCAGGCCCTGGCAGTCAGACTCCAGGACCTGCCTCATCTCCTTTCTAAGGCATCCAGACAGACCCTGGCACCTCCAGCCCTCTATAACTCTCTAACGGCCCCAGCGGAGATGACAAGGTGGCATGTGCCTCAGTGTCATGAGTGGGAGAAGTCTGACAGCCAGAGCAGACCCAGGAGGCCTCAGTTTCCCTGCCTGGACCTTGGAATCCAGGTGGTGGCCACCAGGAGTTAACATGGAGCGGTCATCTTACATGTGCTCGGAGCAGCGGCATTCAGCTTCAATAAGCAAGGCCACCAAATGAGTCTTCCTAATAGACATCGCTTACAAATGATGATGGTGATGAAGATGGTGATGATGATGGTGGTGGTGATGGTCATGGTGGTGGTGATGATGGTGGTGGTGACGGTAGCTAGTTCACAGAGTGTTTCCTGTGCACCAGAGTTTTTGCTCAGCACATTACATAAGCTCAATCCTCACAAAACACAGCAAAGACCTTTGCTATTCCAGCTACTTTTCCTGAGCTCAGCGTTTATACTTCCCATATCACTTACGATGATATGATGAACTATCTGTTGGCATGTCTGTCTCTGCCACTGAACTGGGATCACCTGAGTAAAGAGTGTGACAGAGTCATCTCTCTAGTCCTAACGTGGAGTCAGCACCCACGGCACTGAGCCGTCACTTCTCACCCTGGGGTCTGGTTTTAGGGGCTACTCTTCTGAGATGGATCCAATGGCCCCATCCGTTGCAGTGAACATAGTAGGAGCGCAGCAGAGCTTCAGCGAGACCCCACTGTACCACTCCTAGGACCCGTATTGCATGACCTCAGATCGCTGGTGTCCTTGCCGCATCTCTCCAATTTGAAGGAATTCCCTTAAGAACAGGGGATGGGTCTCATTCATCCCTGTGACCCCAAATGATCTAAACTAGAACCTGGCCCAGAGCAGGCATTTACTGTATAGGTTTGGTTGAATATAGCACAAATTGGTTTACTCTCTATTACTAGTATGATGTTTGGCCATTCAACCCCACCCAATGGTACCAGAAAAGAAAGTTCTGGCGATCTTCTTCCATAAAGTTTACACCCAAGAAATTTCTATGGAGCCATTCTACTCTGTAACATACAGGGGTCACCATGTATTGGACCTATAGCAACAGCTCTGGTTTGGGTTTAAGCTGTTCCTATTAGCTTAAAGTTCAATGGCCAGAAGTAGGACCACTTCTGAGTTATTCTAGATTAAAATCATCACCCCCAGGCCAAAAAAGAAAAGGCAATGAAGCAAGGGAAGGGATAGAGTTCTGATGAAGAAGAAGGAGAGGAAGCTGGAAAAAGAGAGGAAGTGAGTTGTTTATTTCTACAGAAAGAAAAAGAGCATGCAGCCCTGCCCAGAGCAGCCTGCTACGTCCTGTGGTCAGCTAAGAGCAAGCAGGGGGAGGGAATGGAACCGCCAAAGAGGCGCTACAGTCTGGCCACCACCTGCCTCACTGCACCCTCTGTCAAAGCTAGGAGCCCCACACTGCAAGGGCTCAGAGACAGAGCAGAAATGCCTATGCTTGTTCCTACCCCAACAGACCTGACTCTTCAAGGCAGTAGGTTTTAGAGGTAGCTAAGTTGTACAGAGGAGTCCTGGTATGGTGCTGTGGGTTAATGCGCTGGACTGCAAAGTTGATTTGAACTGCAAGGTCAATGGTTCAAGCTCACCAGCTGCTCCTTGGAAACCCTTTGCAGGGTCACTGTGGGTCAGAACAGACTCAACGGCACTTAAAAACAACAACAAAGTTGTACAGAACTCTTTAGGGTATGGCTCCTTGATGGATCCTGGCCAAGTGCAGGCCCTTCTTTGGCTTTTATGATCATCACAAAGCTTGAAGTAATAGGAAAGGCCACCTGACCACAGATTGGACCACAGAGACTGTTTGTTACAACAGGAAGCCATTGCCAAAGGTCATCTACCGCAAAAGCAGGTAATGGCACACCTGCCTCCCTATTGTTCTTTGAGTTCATCCTCCTCAACTCCTTCAGTCCTTCCCAACAAGCAAATCACCTTTATTATGCTTTGCAAATTTGGGGAGAACTTTGCATTCCTTCCGATGTTTGAAGAAATCCCCATGCCAAGCTGTCAGCAAATACACTGTTGAGAAGGGTAGGGCCAAGGGTTGGGAATGGGGTAGCATGGGAGTTTCAAAGCTTCCTTAGAGCTCCACTTTCCCCAGAGAGGCACTGGAGCTGAGGGATGGCTTGGGCAATGTTTTCCATTGTTCAGCAGAAGATGGAGCATCCGCAGAAGGAACAAAGAAAAGGTGTAAAAAGGTATGCTACTCAGTCAAGAGTCCCGAAGGAGAAGAGGTCAAGCAGAGCCCTTTTTGTCTGAGACACAAGAGGCCTGTCTCTGAGATGTGCTTGCCCTTCCTGCCCTCTTCTCCCCTGGACAGCAGGGACCTGGGACGAAGGTCTATAGGCACCCCAACACCGCCAGGAGCTGATGGAGCTGAGCACAGGTGGAGAACAGGCTGGGCCAGCTAGACCACCATCTGGGCCCAGGCACTATGAGCGTAAACTATTTCTGGAACTACATGGCTCTGTACAAAGTCATATTTACCAGAACTTCTCTTAGGGAGTGTTCTCTAAGCGATTAGAGGGAGTCCATTGCTAAGACTCTTTTAAGTGTGTACGTTGGAGGCAAGGAAGAGGAAGTCAGACAGTGAGACTCTCAAGGAACCTGCCTAACAAACTATGGTTGTAAGCTAGAGGCTGCAAGTCTGGGGCACCCATTCTCAGACCAACAGGCTAGTCTGATGTTGTCCCAGCTTCTCCATCAAATACACATTTAAAGAGATTTGACTTGACAAGGTGCCTAAATGGTTGCTGCCCAGAGTGCTCAGACATCTTCGTGTGGCCCTAAAGCTCAGCCCCAATCTTTTTGGGCCCTTGAAGAGTCAGTCAGCCATGCCTAGAGCCTGTCTCTGACCCCAGCCCACCTTCAGTCATTCAAACTGTCCTTCTGCATCCAAAGATGGAGAGATTTCCCAAAGCATTGAGCCAACTGAGGCCAACACATTTCAGAGCAGAAGGCCCAGAGCAGAAGGAAAAGTCTAAGGAAAGAAAGCTGGGGGCACCAAGTTCATCTGAGGAGCTGGGCTGCTCCGTGAAGACGGACAGGCTCCTGACTGTGACCATCCTAAGGCCGATGGGGACGAGGTGGCCTGCAGCGTCAGGGGCAGGTGTCTGCTCAGACGAATCTGATGATGGGAACCAGCCAGCTGGTGGGGTGGGGGCAGGTTCATTGAGTACCTACTGCGTACCAGGCACCATGCTTCAAACTGTATACGCCAACCATCTTGCTTTATTCTGACAACAACCCTTCGGGAGGGAATATTATCCTCAGATTCCCAGTGGGAACATCAAAACATAAATCAGTGTAGTAAACAGACCAAGAACCCCTGTCAGTCATCGATGGAGTGACTTGGAAGTCCATGCTTTTCCCACTGTCTTCCCTCACCAAAGTCATTCTTGCACCCATCTTCTTACCCTAACACCCCAGAGTCCTCAGACTCCTATTCCCTCAGAAAGTCACTGGGGAGTGACTGCCCACCACTGCCCCTTCAGGACAGGCTTCCCTACGACCTCCCCCACCCACCTCCTGCCCTCAGCAGGCCTGTCCTGCCCCTGCCTTGGCGCATCAGGAGGAAGGCCAGTGAGCTGATACACGGTTGCTCACTTTCTTCACACAGACTGTCTCACCAGACCAGAGCAGCTATCACAGCTTCTTTTGCAACCAGCCCAACCAAGTCCCCAAATGGCCAGCACTGGTAGCAAGAAAGGGGACCTGAATGACACACAAATGGGGGAGTATAACTGCCTGGGGCTGGCACCTCGTGCCAGAGGGTGAGTCTGTGGTCCAGGCACCAGATGGTGGGCACACAAGCTGAGTGGTACCCATTCCAGAACAGCCTCTGTGGGTGTCTCTAATCTGCCCTGGTGCTGCCAGTCAGCCTGGCTGGTCCCCTAGGCCCCTGCAGTCTATATTCAGCTCCACTTGGCTCTGGTCTGCATTGAACGGTAAGCACTTCTGCAGCAAGCACTTCCTCCTGATTAGGTCTGTGTTGGACCTGTGCTAAACACCAGTATGCTGTCCCTGGGCACTGTCTACCCAAGGGTAGATGAGTGATACCGCCAGAAAGCAGGGAGGCCAGCCCAAATTCAGCTGTGCTCTAGACAATTCAGAGAACTGAGCGGAGAATTGATGGCTCATGCTCACTTTGGCTCAGTAGCTACAGAGCAATGTTAAACCCACTCAGTAGACCCAGTGAAGGGCCAAGAGGGAGAGATAGTCAAGCACAGGCCTTCTTGCCAAGAACTCCCTCCCAGATCCAGGGTTAGGCTTGGGCTGGCGCCAAGCTCAATTCAGAGGCTTGAGGGTCCTGGCTGGCTGAAGAGAAGCAGAGCTGGCCAGGCTGCGGCCACTGGAAGGACCTTACCTTGCTCTCCGGGGGCGTCGCTGCCAGCTGTTGCTGCTTAGCGATGTTCTCAGACACACACCAGCACACTCTCTTCTTCTGCTCCTGCGAGTGTGCTTCCAAAGTGAATAAGCACTCTGCCTTCTGACGTCAGAGAAAACAGAGAGAGGGACGATCAGGGCTGCTCCCTGATTCAGGGGGCTCCCCGGCCTAAGCCCATCCCTGGGCTCCAGCGGGCGAGGCTGCAGCAGGGAAGGGAGAGTGAGCTAAAAGCCACAAATGCACATAAATCCCTGGTGACATCGAGGCAGCCAGAGGAGCAAGGAGGCTGGTTTCGGGGGCCAGCTGGTGAGCCTGTGCCCACAGACTGGGGGAAGGGAGGGAGGTCAGTGGCTCCCAGTACAGTAGAGGCCTGTGGAGAGCTACCGGACAGCAATGGTGAGGTCACTCCCGGGGGTAGGCAGTACAAGGCAGAAACTGGGAAGTCCAGTGGGCCAAGGCCTTGGGCTGTGGCTCTGTGGAGCCAGGGCCCCTCCCCTACTTCAGCACACTTAGCTAATCACAGGGCTGACACACAATACCAGATGAATGGACGGACACACATCCCAACCAGACCCAAGCTGCTCTTCTGTCCCTTTACGATGCTCTTGGTGGACAGCCATGTTGCCCTCTGCAGCCTCTCCATTGCGGACACATGATCTGTGTCTGCTCAATGGCTGCTCAGCTCAGTTGAGCTCTGCATCATCTCTGACAGTGCTGCCATTCAAACCCTACTTTGCTATTTGAAGTGCCCTGGTGGTGCCGTGGTTAAAGCACTCGGCTGCTAACGGAAAGGCTGGTGGCCCTTGGGACAAAGATGTGGCAGTCTGCTTCTGTACAGATTACAGCCTTGGAAGCCCAGTGGGGCAGTTCGACTCCATTCTACTGTGCGACCATGAGTTGGGGCTGATCACCCAACAAATGAGGTAAGAAACCTGTGTGAAGCTGCTCACTACCTATTAGTAGACAAGCACAAGGAAGCCTGGGCTGCTTTCCTTGCTCACTGGGCACTCCATCCCTGTCCAGGTGGGTCAGTTTGAAGAGAGGCTTAGATTCTGTAGGAAGATGCTGTGCGGTTGGGAGAGAGTCAGATGTCAGCCATGCCTAGTAATAGAATCTTTGATGTGGTGAAAAATCGTAAAATTGTCCACTACAGATTAGTAACTAAACACAAGTAAGCCCGTGCTTACCTTGCCTATTGGGTAATCTGATACTGGCTGAGTCGGAATCGACTCCACAGAAGTGGGTTTGGGGGTTTGTTTCTGGCTATTTAACCCTGGTAAGTGCTGTCTCCCCAAGTAGATTGTAAACTCCTCCTTTGGAGGCCTTTTTCATCTGTGCCTCGCACTGTGCTTGCCACTCTGACCCCTGGAAGAGCTTCCGATCTGAGGTCAAATCCGGGCTAGATTTAGCACAAGCTCAGGGAGTGGCTGGGACCCAGGGGCTCCCCCACACAGCAGTCAGACAGCGCTGTGGGTGGAGCAGCGTGCCCAGTGTTATCAACAGGGCTTCAAACCAAATCAAATTGGTTCAGTCACGGCCAAAAAATGAAATCAGAACAGACCTGTTTTTTTTTTGTTTTTTTTTTTAGTTTGAATGAACTGAAACGATAGCCAGAACCGAAAATAATTACAAGTCAGAGTCCCAGAATGGGAGGGAGACATGGAAGAGACATAGGGAGCCCTTTCAGCAGCCTGACCCAGGAGACTGGATTCTCGCCAGGACTGTGGAGCACAACACACAACCAAAGCTGCACAGTTGGCCACCATCTTTGAGCTGGGCACCATTGTTTCCAATTCTACCAATCAAGAGATTTAGTTGCTTTTTGACATGCACGCTGCCCTTGTCATCCAAGAGGGAGATTACGGTTTTGGCAGAATGTCTACGCATAATTTTTCCTGTTCTGGTTTTGATTCGGTATACCCACATTTTATAAATTCGGTTCCGTTCCAGTTTTGTCTCACTGGCCATGACTGAACCAAGAAGAACTGGTTTGAAACACTGGTTATCAACCATCACAAGGCTCTGATCAGGAGATTACAAGTGCTTTCTGACTCTACTGGAATTTGATTATAACCCCACAGGGCTTTGATTAGATGAACTCAGCCAAGGAGTCAAGAGCCGGATGGCAAGGAACAGAGAAAAAAAGACAGCGTTTTATCCAGGTCTTCGTCGTTTTGCAGTTAAACAGTCTAAATCCTGGTTCTACCCTTTCCTAGCTGTCGACTGCAGGGTATTCCCAAACTCCCTGTAAAACAGAAATGATCAAGGCACCACCTACTTAGCAGAGCTACCGGGAGAGGAGCAATAAGGACAACGGCAGGCTTCAACAGACAGAAACTATTGCTATTACTCAGCAATTCATTCCTTTAAAAACTATACATCGGTCCCCTGCCGTGTGTCAGGGACTTGGCACTAGGATAAAGAGGTAAATAAGATCGACTATGCCCTTGCCTTCAGGTTGGGGGCAGAGACAACAAATAAACCACATAATTAAGTTATGTAAATGCCATGAAGATGATAAAGGGAGAGGTCCTACTAGAGCTGGGTGGCCAGAGAAGCCCTCCCTGAAGAGGTGACACTCAAGCTGAGACCTGAAGGAGGAGCCACTATGGAAAGTTCTCGGGGAGACTTGTTCTAGGCAGAAAGAGCAGCAAATGAAAAGGCTCTGGGCTAGGGGTGGCTATCAACATCATCTAGCAACATTTGGGGACAGTTTCTATTCTGTCATCCAAACCCAATCCTCAGGACAGGGCCCCTTCCTGGGCTCAGTGTTGCAGGGTGTCAGCCATTTCTCCCTTGCCCCACAGCAATCAGAAGATCTTCCTAAAAACATCCTGAGAGGAGAGGAGGGGAAAGGAAACCCTGCCCCTTAGCTTCAGAGAACTGGGTAGATACGGGGAGGGGATCCTGTAGCTACCACTCAACAGGTCCCCTCCACTTCCCAGAGCCCACCACCCAGATAAGAGAAGGGCGTGACCAGCAAGAGTCCCTAGGGAGCAGGTGTTAGGGCAGAGTCTGAGCAGAGCACCTTCTGCTCATGGTCTTGTCTTGTCTGTGAAGGGAAGAGTGTACCTTCCAGCTTGAAAAGGCCATCACTCCATAAAGCTGGCCCCGCTAGAACCTCCCAACTCTGTCTCTACCTAGATTCCCCGACTTCAGATAAATCCTCAGTCTCCCTGAGCTTCAATTTTCTTCTCTTTTTCTTTTCTGAAGCTAAAATTCCACCTTAGTAATGATTCCTTTTCTCTAAATGTCCATTTTAAAAAGTGTTTTGACACCCACTGACTCATTTTGATCTTGGCAGTTCTGTGAAGAGTGTGAAGAGGAGGGCAGGGGGACATGTACTGTTATTCCCATTTTATAGATGGGGAAAGAAATATGGCTCTGAGAGACTAAGAGTCTCCCTGAAGTCAAACCACCAGTGAACGACAGAGGAAAAGACCCAGCCCCTAGGAAAATCTTCAGGAATTTCATCTCCAAATATTGAGGAGGTCTCTTCAGAAGCACCCACACCACTAGCTGGTAGGGATGCTCTTCCTTGCAAGCCAGGGTCTGGAGGCCAGCCGTCAGAGCACAAAACACTTCAGAAGAAACTGTGTAGGCCAGTGGGCCTCAGAGCAGCTGCCTAGCACCGCTGCCCAGCGCTCTGACTTCCAGACTGGTGGGGCTCTCTCACAAACACGCAAGAATGCTTTGCTTGCTCCCTGGGTGGGCTGGGCCTGATTCCTAACACAGAGACAGCCTTCTCACACACCAGTCCCTACATGGTGGGTGACCAGCGGTGTCTTGATATTCCTCCCAGCAACCTTGTAAGGTAGAGCTGTAATTATCCTCACTTACTGAAAGCCACAAGAACCATCCTTGTAGTACCTTGTGGAGAATCTCCTTTGAAAACCGAATTTCTCCGGCCAAGTTGAAGCCCATGTTGCCTGCCTCACAGCAGAGCTGAATGCTCCCACAGCTTGAGACTGGAGGCCCCTGTAATGTGAGGGGACCCAGGACACTTCCGATGCACTGAGGTCCTAAACCCCAGGCCTGGCCTGGGGCAGAGTGTGCTGTCTCAGTTAACTCTGACTCACAGCACCCCCTCACGTGCAGCGTACAACTGCTCCATAGAGTTTTCATGACTTTGACCTTTCGGAAGCGTGTGGCCAAGCCTGCAGTCTAAGGTGCCTCTGGGTGGGTTCAAACTGCCCATCGTTCTGTTAGAATCCAAGTGCTCAATTGTTCACTGTCTTAGAGGGGGAAATTTTAGTGGGGAGGTTCTAGCTCCCAAGATTCCTTCCAAATGCTGTCTGGAGCTTTAGAGGCTGGCCTAGTTGAAGAGACAGCTCTGAGACAGTTCTCTCCAAAATCAAAATCCTAACTCACTGCTATTCTGACTGATACTGGACCCTACAAAGGGTTACTGAGACTGTAAATCTTTACGGGAGCAAACAGCCTCATCGTTCTCCCTCAAAGCAGCTGATGGGTTTGAACTGCTGACATTGCAGTTAGCAGCCCCATGCCTAACCCATACTTCCCCCTCAAGTAGGCTAAATTCCCATCTACCAAGGCATCTGCCACCTGTCTCTCCATGTGTCTAAATTCTGCCCCCCACCCTCCTGCCTCTGCACACTCACAGCTTGTTACTTGGCTGAACTTTCAGTGTGTGATATAACAGATCCAGCTGAGTGGTGTCAAAGCTGCTGCACCCTGTGCTCTCCACACAAGAGTGGTCACCTGGCAGCGACTTCTCCAGTTGCACTGACCCCAGACACAACAGCACTGAGCCCGGCTCTCTGCATGGAAGCATGGGTACCCCCAAATCCAACCAGACACCTGGCATCCCCATCTTGCCTCACGCCCCTGTTCCTGAATTAATTTTTGTTTTTGCAAAAACCAAAACCTCTTTTGCTATGATTTAAGCTTGTTTATTTGCTCTGACATTTAATTTCATTCTCCTAAGGATCCCTGGAAGACACCTGGTGTGGCGCAGTAGGATCAGCACTGGACTGTGAACCACAGGGTCGGCAGTTCAAATCCACCAGTTGCTCCTCAGAAACCCTATACAGAGTCGCTATGAGTCGGAAGTGACTCGATGGCAATTAACAACAACAAGGATCTGGTAACACAATGGTTGAGAGCTCTAGGTATTAAGTGAAATGCTAGTTGTTCAAATCCACCCGGTGGCTCCCTCAGGAGAAAGAGCTGGTGATCTACTCCCATAAAGATGACACCCTAGAAAACCCTCTGGGACAATTCTACTCTGTCACATGGAGTTATGAGTCAAAACTGACTTGACTCAACGGCAGCTACCAACAATGACCCTATGACATAGGCAGGGAGGAAAGGCACAGCTGTTCCTGTTTTTCAGATAAAAAAAAATAATAAAGCTCAGAGAGGTTAAGTCATTGACTTCAGTAGGTGTTCGGGAGGGGAGACACTCAAAGTCTGTCTTCTCCCTCTTTCAGAGTCTGTGATCTTGCCATATCTGCGTAACTGTAAATGTACCTTACAAAGAATGCGAGACGTTCCTCTTAGCTCTCTTTTTAAAAGATCAATAAACCATTTGTAATGTCTTTAATGGAGAGTAAATGAATATGAAAAGCACTTCACCTTTTTATGAAGCCAACAGTAATAATAGCCACCGTATTACTGAGCACTCGCTGTGTGTTGGGCTCTGCACTAAAGCGCTTTGGACACAGCATCTTATTGAATCTTATTTAATCATGACAAGAACCCTGTGAGGTGGGCCTTAGCAGCCTGGTTTCAGAGATGAGCCTGTAACTTGCCCCACATCACCCAGTTAGGAAATGGTAAAGGCAACATTCAAATTTAGGTCTTTCTAAATCCTAGACTCTTAAATCCATGGAGGCAGCATCAGGTTCTAGGTTATAAATGACCCACGCGCTCATCAACCAAAGACCCCAGCGCTCTAAAACCAGTTGTGGGCTGTCCGCGGATTTGTAGGGGGAATGTGTTCAGAAAAACAGACATCCGGGGACTGAGATTGCTTAAGACAACACCGTCCAGGATCTTTCCGCTAGGGGAAGAGAGCTGCTGCCACCACCTAGGCGAGTGTTCTCAATGTAGAGGCGGGAAGAAACCTCTCTAAATCTGACTATCCTTCTCAGCTTCCCAGGACCTCTTCTCTGAGTGCCACAATTCATGTTAGGAATTTCCCTAAGATGTGAGTTTAGGACTTTCTGTGGGATCCAGTACTACCCATGACAAGAATTTCCCAGGTTACAAAGCAAGCAAACATCTTCCCTGCATTACAAACAAGCTCCTCATAAATAACAATCCATTAAGAAAAAACGAGAGGCTGCCCGTGAACTTCAATCCCCCAGACCCTCACATTTCAGATCACCTGGCACTTTACTGAAATAAAAGGCCCCAAATTGATATCTCTTCATCATCAATCTCTGGAGGCCTAGGAACTCACAGCTTCCTGGAAACCAATGGAGCAGAAGTACTTTTCTCTGGAAAAAAAACAAACAAACCCAGCCTGGCAGGCCACTTTCTCATCATTAAAGAACCTGGGTCTCCTTTCAGGCACTGCCCAGAAGACTCGGAGCCCAACCTGGTGGGGTGGAGGGGCCTGCGCTCTGGCCACAGAGGCTCTAGCTCTTCCCAGCATGGTTCACAGCTTCCCCTAAGCTGCACTCTGCTGGCTTTGAAGAGCCTCCACCTGCCAGGTCCTGTGTGCGGGTAGGATGTGGCTGATGCAGGGGAAGACATGAGTTGGGCACAGGAGGCAGCCCAGATCGCACACTCTGCTCTGACAACGTCCACTGCCTCTTTGGGACTCTCTGCTCTCCCCTGAAGTAAACTGCTCATCAATTCTGTCTTCTCCCCTACTCCAGGCCTTCTACTACTTGTCTTAGCCAGGAGTGAAGGAATGATTTTCCATCACAAACAGCATTCGAATCCCTTCTCTAAAAGGCTTACTCCTCTTGACCAGCCAGTGTAGATAGACCATGCCCCTACCCCTAGAATTTACAACTAGTGTAAGCTCTCCCACAACACAGCTGGTTCTCAAGACTGTTGGATGAGACTGGTTTAAGTAGAGACTGGTTTAACTAGGGCAGGAACCGCTCTAAGAAATCCTTGCTTGGAACAGACACCACCCTGCTCACATTAATGGAGAAAAAAGGTTGAGAACAGAAAAGACGCTGAAAATGGAACAGAATTTGTATGGCTCAGTGACTGTCCACCTTTGGGTCACAAAGGATCTCTTTGATTAAACCCCTGAGTTAGTGCTATTTTAACTACCAAACTGTATAAAGCAATAGGTTCCCTGCCTGGTCTTGCTCAGCCAACGCATAGCACGCTCATCGGGCTTCTGATCAGACTGCAATAGCTAGGAACATCAATCACACTGAGTGGGTATCACTCCAGCCCCAAACACAGCCACTTAATGTTTTTCTTTAGCCTGTATTATCAAGGTAAAGGTATAGTGATGCGGTAAATAAAAAACAAGGCCGCCGCTGTCTAGTCTAAAGGATTCTAACTTACGGCAACCCCATGTGCTGCCGAGTAAAACTGAGCTCCTCAGGGGTTTTGGTTTTGGTTTGGTTTGGTTGTTTTTTAATTGTAGCTTGGGTGAAAGTTTACAGAGCATTTACGTTCTCCAGTTGAGCAACTGATGCACATTTTGTTTCATGGCACTTGGGTGAAATCCTCTCAAGGTAACAGCATTCTTCCTCCTCCTCCCTGGATTCCCTGTTTCCATTCCTTCTTCTCTCTTGCCCCTTCCTGCCTTCTGAGTTTTGTTCCTGGGCAAATGCTGCCCTTCTGATCTCATCTGGGTTGACTGTTGAAGGAGTAAGTTCCTCCCTGGTGCTATTATTTGGCTCAAATTTGATCCTGGCTTGAAGGGAGTCTAAGGGTCACAGTCCTGGGTGTTCCATCAATCTCTATCAGAACAGTAAATCTGGCCTTTTAAAAGTTTTTGAATTGTGTTCCGCATTTCTGTTTTCTCCCTCTCTATTCACGATGGTCCCTGATCAGAACCATTACTCTCTAAGCTTTCCTTGGCATCCCTGAAGGGTGCAAATGGCTAAGCTGAGTGGTGATTCAAACCCACCCAGAGGCATATGAGAAGACAGGATTGGCGATCTGCCTCCGAAGGTCACAGCCCTCTGGAAAGTCATACTCAGTACACATGGGTTTGTCATGAGTTGGACCAGACAACAACAAACCTTGACAGAAGCAGATCACCAGGACTTTCTTCCTTGTGGTTCAGCTGGGTTGGTTCAAACCAACAAACTTTCTGTTAGTAGCTGAGTGCAATCAATTTGCATCAGCCAGGGAAGGATCCACTGAATAAATAAACAGGGAGATGCACAGCTGCTAGGCCACATCGTCATGTCCCAAGTGCTCTTCTGTCCATTCTAAGCACTTCCTTGTCCACTGCTCTTCTCACCGAGATAAGGGAGGTAGAAGCAGAAATTTCTCTTTCCAGTCTACAGTGCAAGCAACTGGCTTTCTGGCCTTGCCCTGCCCACCATCTTCCCTCAAGACACCAGGCCACAGCTCTCTCTCCTCAAATTCAGATGGAAGGACTCACCTCTGCGAGATACAGCACGCAGAATTTCAGGTCTTCAGAAGAACCTGTGAGGGAACAAAAAGCAAGGCTTGCATTAGAATAGGCTAAAGGGTCTCTGCAGTTTGTTACAGTACAGCCAACTGTCTCACCAGAAGGCCTATGTGGCGCTTCCTGGAAAAAGAGGAAGAAACAGTCAGGCAAATGGGACAGGGAAACCCCTGGAGCAAAGGCCACTAGATGAGTAAACAGGGTGATGCCCAGTTTTCGGGGCAGCCTGGCCCAAGGAGTACTGTGCTCAGATCTCCACGAGAGGTAGCCTGGAGCCCTCCTCCTTCCATGATCCCTGCAATGAGGGATATCCAGCAGCAGACATTTTGGTTTTCCTTTAAACAATCCAACTGCTTCAACCATTTTGGAATTCAGCAAGGAGCTATTTACTTTCTGGGAGGGCTTTGTTACCCATCACAGGCTGAGTGGGGCCCAGAGATGACCCCTTTGCACCTTCGCACCCCTGGTCTAGGATCCCAAACCCAACCATTCATCAAGCCCTCTGTGCCTGGGAAGCAGCTGGGAGGGCCTATCACTGCTCCATCCCCGCCCCTTCAGCAGGAGATAACTTGGAAGCCCTAGCCTAAGACAGATGACAGGGTCAGAATGCAGGGGGTCTGGGAGCTCCTGTAAAGGAAAAGAGATGCCAAGACAGCAGACATTTGGGTCTTCCTTTATGCAGTCCAACTGCCTGTGCCATTTTGGAATTTAGCAAGGGGACATTCGGTTCCAGAGGGGCCTTGCTTCCCACCAAAGAATGTGTGGGATCCCTAACCAGGAGATGGGTAGAGACAAGAGATGTGTGCTTTAGAGTCCTCTCACTCCCAGTCTAAGATCCCAAATTAAACCATTCACCAAGCCCTCACCACCTGGAAGGCAAGCTGTGAAGGTTGTCATCTCCAGATAAGGAAACTGATCTCAGGGAGAGAAAACAGCTTGCACAGTAAGTCAGTGGCAGAGCTGAGCTCTGAGCCCAGGACAGTCTGCCTCCAAAGCCTGTGGTCCTGACCGTGGGTCACACTCCTTCCCCTCATCTGTCATGTCACCAGGATCTGAGCCCCAGAGGGCTGCAAATGTGTCTCTTCCACTACTCGAAAGCGGGCTCTGAGGAGATGCTCAGAAAATGATGCCAAAGATTTAACTCCAAGGTTTTCCAGCAATGGGACCTACTGTTGAGCTCCCAAGCCTGGACACCTGGCTACCCAGGGTGGGTGGAGAACCCAAGAATCAGCTGGACATTTTCAGGCCACTCCTGAGACACTGGAGCTGGCCAGGAAGACAAGCTGTGGGCGGGACACTGGCTGCCTGGGAGGCAGAAACACAAAGAGCCACAAAGCCAGCAGGCGGCTGAGGCAGGAAGAGACCACAATGGGCCCAGGCTGACCGGAGATGTCCCAATTGTTAGCAGCCAGCTCTCCCGCCTGTTCTCATTACACTGCCATTCAGCCCCTCTGAAGCCTGGGGGAAGTTGGCTATGAGGAGAGCAGGCATCATTTAAGTGGCCACCCAGCCAGGAGTCCTGGGGGAGGGGTGCACCCCAGCCCCCCAGCTGAGGCAGTGCTTTTGGTCTCCATTTAGGCATTCATTCATTCAACCAACAAACACACAATGTGCATCCTGGAGGTTCCTAGCCTATGCCAGGTAGACCCTGGGAGAACTCCTGGTCAGAGAACCTAAGGACCCATCAGACACTTCACACAGGGAGCCCGTGGTCCCTGGGGTGGGGCAGATTTCCCCTGCCTGGGAGCAGCCCTACCAGCAGGAAAGGCAGGGTGTGTTCCTTGTTTACCATCTTCTTTGCCCCAAATTGAACTCTCTACACATGTTGACTTGAAAGAGACAAACAAGAAACCTAGGAGTCATGAACAATGTTAATCAGAGGCCATTCTGTCAACAGAAACTCCAGCTGAGGCCCCAAATGCATCTCTTAAAAGCCTCACTCAGGCCCTTGCTGCAGCCACAGGTCTCTGGGGGCACAGGGAGAGGCGGGCATGAAACTGGGTGCCAGGACACAGAACACTGGGTCCTGCCGCTCCAACTCCATCTGCAGGAAGGAGAAGGGGCCACCAGACTCCTGTGAGACCCCCAGGCCTGAGCCAGGGGAGCCAGGGAGGGAAAGTGAAGACACCTTTAATGCCTGGCATGAAATCTAAGTGTTGGAAAGTGCACCTTGAAGGCTCAATGTCATCGAGCCATTTCCTTCCCTTTCGGCAGCTCTTGGGTGAGCCACATTGCCTCTGTTTGTGTCTGACACTGTTAAACCCATCACCATGTGTCGATTCCAACTCATACTGACCCAGTAGTAGACAGCAGAACTGGCCCGTAACGTTTCCAAGGCTGCAAGTCTTTACAGAAGCAGACTGCCACATCTGTCTCCCACAGAGTGGCTGGCAGGTTTGAACACTGACCTTTTTTTCGGTCAGCAACCTAGCTCTTTAACCACTGTGCTACCATAGTGACCCTACTTGTTGTTGTTAAGTGTCGTTGGACTAACGACCCTGTATCCTGGTGTGGCACCATAGTGTAAACACTCGACCTCAAGGTTAGTTTGAACCACAAGGTCGGCAGTTCAAACTCACCAGCCAGCCACTCCTTGGAAAGAAACCCTATACAGGGTCACTATGAGTTGGAATCCACTCGACGGCACTTAACAACAACAACATAACAGTTCCAGGACTTTTGGTGGTGTACTGTAGTGTGAGAAATAACTCTTGTTGGTGTGGTCCATCTTCAGGACTCAGGGAAATCTTGGGGGTAGCAGTCTAGCATAACAAAAGTTGCTCAGTGGAGGGGAAGAACTAGTTTAACCAGCTAGGAACTTTAAAATAAGAATTCAACCAACAAAGAAATAGGAGAAGTTCATGGGGAAACTAACTTTAAATGAGTGTGAGAATGAAAGTGGACGGCTGAGAGTAGGGCTCAGAGCAAGAATCGCCGCTTCAGGTATAAGAGCTTGCTCTGAGACCTGCTTCAGGCTGGGGCCATAAGGACAACCAGGCATGGCTAGGCAAGTCCCCATCAGAATGTCTCAAGAGACACAAATGCAGGGTAAAGAGCACACTAGTAAAACTGTCACAGTTGAAGACTCACAGGCCAGGTGGCCGGAACAGGTAACAGATAAAACGAGGCCGGCAGGACTGGAAAAAGTCTTAGTACTATAGGTCACTTATGTGATGTTATGTTTAAATCTAGTGGATCCTGCGGTTTCTGAATGCTCCATTGGGTAAAAGTTGTAATCCTAGTTTGCATATCCCCCTCCCATGGTGTGTCCCAAAACCCTATATAAGGTGCAGTTTGTGAACTGCTTGGGGTCGAGCTTTGGTGAGCTGATGCAGTAACCCTGCTGTAACACTGCTGAACACTACACTGCTAGCCGCCACTCGACCCTAGCATGCTAGCTTGAATAAAGCCCACCTGCTTTTGCATTATCTTTGTCTCTTGGTCTCCTTATTGGGTGGTGGTCTCGGACCCTAACATCCGAATGTGCCCAGTTAGGACTAGTAGGCCACCTTGGGAGAAGATTGTAACCTCCTAATACCCAGTTGAGTAAGGAGCTCTGGTAGCATAGTGGTTATGAATCGGGCTGTGAACCGCAAGGTCAGCAGTTTGAAACTTCCAGCGGTTCCACGGGAGAAAGATGAGGTGTTCTGCTCCCGTAAAGATTTACAGCCTCGGAAACCCTGTGCAGGGTCGCTATGAGTCGGAACCGACTCCACAGAACTTAACAACAACAACAACAATACCCAGTTGAAGGGGAGCTAGAGGAGGGGCTTTTTCAAGACAAGGGAATAAAACTGCTTGTGGGCCGGCCATGTGGCGCACCTGCCCATGTTTACTGGGTCGGGTGCCAGGTTTTACAAAATCAAATAAAGAAAACCTCACTCTCACTAAAATGAGTACAGATTGGATAACTTGAGCATTTATCTGTATGAACAACGTTTCCCACAGTAGGATCAGCACTGGACTGAAAACAACAAGGTCAGCAGTCAAACCCACCAGGAGCTCCTTGGAAACCCTATACAGGATCGTTATGAGTCAGAACCAACTCGACAGCACTTAACAACAAAAATAGCATTTCCAAGGAACAGCTGGTGGCTTTGAAGTGACGACCTTGTGGTTAGTAGTCAAGTGCTTATCCTACAGTGCCATGCCAGGACTGAGCCTTCTAGGGAAGAGTAAAACAATTTGTCTGCACCAAACTGGCTGTCCAACAAACCCAGGTTACGCACACACATACCCTTCTCCCACACCCACCCACCCAGCTCTAAAGGCAGTGGTCATCTTGCCTGAGGAGGACTGACCCTGGCCACCCTCAGACCTGAACTAGTTTACCCACCATATTCAGGGAGCGGAAGTGGTCCTTGCCCCAGAAGCCATGCTTGCACAAAGCTACAGCTCAGCATCCAGAGGGTATCTCTGCAACACTTCAGGCCCCACCTGGCCCACCCTGACCATAGCCACCCAGTGGAGGACAGAGTTCATCCAGCCTCCAACTTCAAGCTTTGGGCCTGGGGGTCCCAGAAGAGGAAGATCCAGAGCCCCCTGAGGGGTGGGGGCAGGACAGTAAGGGTACTGTCTGAGTTCTCACAGCAACTCTGGCACGTCAAGAGCTGGGAAAGAGCATAAAGAGCTGGCCCAACCAGCTGAAGTCACACAGCGTGTTTGTAGCAAAGCCAGCTCCTACCCTTGGTTCTTCCACTGACCTCTTCTCCCCCAGCTACTCCCCGCCCAAACCACAGCCACTTTGAGCCTCCCCCCTTCCTGGACTTGCAGCCCCAGACCTGAGGAATCAGAGTAACAGAGCAAGGGTTCCGTTCTTGCATCCACCAAGAAGAGCAGTTCAGTCCGTTCCGACTCATAGCGTCCCTGTACAGGGTTTCCAAGGAGCAGCTGGTGGGTTTGAATCACTGACCTTGCAGTTAGCAGTCTCGCACTGACCCTACAGCAAGCACCACACCAGGAATCTCTGTTGTTACTGTTGTTGTTAAGTGCCATCGAGTCGGTTCCGACTCACAGCGGCCCTGTACAAGGTCTCCAAGAAGTGGCTGGTGGGTTTGAACCACTGACCTTGTGGTTGGCAGTCCAGTACTTATCCTACAGCATCACACCAAGACTCCTAGAAATCAGTGAAACTTAGAGTATCTGAGCTGGAGAGAGAGGCCCAGAGAGGAAGGGACTGGGTCCTGTGAGTATGAGTAAGTGTGTGTATGGGGGCAGGGGTGGGGAGGAGGGAGGAAGTGGGGAATGGGAGTATGCGTGGGAGCCTGGGAGAAGCTGGGTGTGAGGGATCAAGGGAGGGACAGAGGCAAGGCGAGGCGGGCAGGTGGCAACAAAGCCAAGGGCAGAGTCCTTGGTAGCTGGACCCAATTCTCCCTCAGCCTCTGAAGGAGCTCTCAGAGAAGTGCTGCTTAGCCATGCTCCTTGGTCAGAAGAGCTGAGCGATTTGCTATTGCCCTCAGCAGCCTCCCTGGCCAGCCGGCAGGAGAAAATCAGAGCCACAGAAGAAGTTTTAAGTGGCTTCCTGTGGGGAGGTAGGTATGGAGCTTCTCACACTGGCTGGCTTTCCAAGGAGGAAGAACAGCCAAGGCACCGAGCACACAGGATGGGTTTGCAAACAGCCAGGAAGTTTTCCTGGAGCAAAAACCATCAAAACAGAATTCTTTCACTGGGTAATATTTTCCTCCCTGCCCCTGTCACCATGCTCTAACAGGTCTGCTGTTGTTTTCATAATCTGGGAGAGGAAATGAAGCCCCTTTCAGCGGAGACCTCAGGCGCCAAACCAAACCACTCGACAGATACTCCCAGCTGGCTTCCCGTTCCCCGGGTGTAGGAGGGCACAGTGGAAAGTTTGGAATTCACTTCACGCTCTCATGTCGCCCTGCTTGCCAGCCCCCATTGCACAAACTCTGGTTCCCTCAGCACTGCCAAGGAGATGCTGCTGGGTGGGGACGGAGCAGGGTCTCCAGTCCGAATATGAGTGTGGCGCTAGGAAGGCACCTAGCATTGATCGCATAGATAACTTTTGAGATATTATCATTATCCCCAGTCACACTGGAGGAAATGGGCCCAAAGAGATGAAGTAACTTGCCCTAGGTCACACAGGTAAGGCAGGGCCAAGATTTAAACACAGGTCTGAGTCCAAAGGTCTTCCCACACCACTCCATCATCTCCCTGGAATATCTCTGAAACAGAAACCTCCCCGCAAAGATCAGGGTGCATAGGGAGGCTTGCCAGCCTCGAATGGAATGTCAGGGTCTGAAGACCTACCAGTCCGGGCACAGAGCCCAACACCACTGCCAGTCTGTGCACGAGCCCACAGGCCCATCCCACACAACACCCAAGACAGAAACAAAGACACAAAGACAGATGCTCCTGTCCTGTATGGAACAAATGCCCCACTGATGACCAGCAGAGGGATACCCAACCTGGAGACCCCAGACCGGTAGGGAGGAGGCCCAAGGCATCTCAGGACTTTCCTTACCTTCCTGCAGCTTTACACTCTGGAGGTAGAGGGGGTTCCTCAGGACATTACAGCGGCCTGGCTCATCCTCCTTAGTGAAGAGCAGCAGGTCGGAGTAGGCAAACAGTGTCACCTGTACCAGGAGACAGCAAACAAAATGAAAGTATACACTCAGAACACCAAGTCCTGTCCTCTCTGTCCCCCTCCCTCCAACGCTCAATCCAAGTCCCATTGGTTTCTTCTGCTATGTGTCAGAACCAACTCGGTGGCAGTGGGGTGTGGGTTTCTTAGGACCCATTCAAATTTGAGTACTTGTAGGGTGGGGTTGCAGTACTGGATAAGAGGCACTGAAGGGTAACACCAAGAATGAAACCCTTACTAGGCGACACTGATTGCTCAGGACTGTGACCACAAGCCCAGGGCAGCTTGCTTGCTCTGCCTTCTGCTAAAAGGAAGAAGGGGAAAAAACAGAGGCTCCAAGCAATTGTGCTTTAGGTAGGGAGTGGGGTTGGGGAGAAGATGGCAGAGGGAGAGCCCGGAGGTCTGGTTAACATGTCTTCAGCATCTGGAGCAGAGACCTGACCTACAGTGCCCACTGCCTCTGCGCCCCCTGCCACTTCTCAAAATGGGAAAAATACACAAACAATAAGCAAACCTCACCCTCCAGGCAGATGGCCTCTATAAGCCTCCCTAAAACTGATGTCCTCACAGGTCCACCTCTCCAACCAAATGACCCTGGAATCTCTAGCCTAGTGCTCTTGACTTGGAGCCACTCTTGAACTTGCTGAAAGAGCAATGAACTTGGAGTCAGAAGTCACAAGCATCCTCTAATTCACTCCCTCACTGCCGTCAAGTCGATTCTGATTCATAGTGACCCTGTATCAGGCTTCTGAGGCCGTAAAACTTGATGGGAGCAGAAAACCTCGTCTTTCTCCCTTGGTGTGAATGGTGGTTTGAATCGTACATGTCGCTGTTCACAGTCCAGTACTTATCCTACAGCGCCACACCAGGAGTCCCTGCCACTAACTGTTGTTGTTAGGTGCCATTGAGTCGGTACCGACTCATAGCGACCCTATGTACAACAGAACAAAACACTGCCTGGTCCTGGGCCAACCTCACAATTGTTGACACGCTTGAGCCCATCAATGCTGCCACTTGGCTAATCCATCTTGTTGGGGGTCTTCCTCTTTTTCTCTGACCCTCCACCTTACCAAACACGATATCCTTCTCCAGCGACTGCTCCCTCCTAATAATATGCCCCAAGTATGAGAGACGAAGTTTGGTCATCTTGGCCTCCAAGGAGCTCTCTGGCTGTACTTCTTCCAACAGAAGCTGATATCTCTGCTCTTCAATACTTTAAAAAGGTCTTGTACAACAGATTTGCCTAATGCAATTTGTAGTTTGATTTCTTGACTGCTGCTTCCATAAGTATTGATAGTTGATTCAAGAAGAATGAAGTCCTTGACAACTTCAATCCTTTCTCCGTTGATAAGAATGTTGTTTATTGGTCCAGTGGTGAGAATTTTTGTTTTCTTTACATTGAGATGCAATCCATACCAAAGGCTGTGGTCTTTAATCTTCATCAGTAAATAATTAGCCATGAACAATTATTAAGTTCCCTTAAAGCCTCTCAACCTGATTTCTCATCTGTACAAATATCAGTGAGAGGCCCCACCTGGCTCTCTCAGGGGCTTCTTTGTACCCTGAGAATTGAAGCTTCACGCAATGTGTGGGGTATTATTACTAAATTCCTTGCAGATAATTTAACTGCATTAATTAGAGATCAGTTAAACACAAAGCAAGCTATTTACTCTCCAATACAGACATGTGTGTATCTTTTATGTATTATGTATTATCTCTTTTATGTATTAGCTGCTTCACAAAATAAAGGCAAAAGGAATTTTTAGACATTATAGGTAAAGCAGCAGAATACTCAACATTTTTTATGTTAAACATTTAAAAAAAATCCACTTGATCCTCTACTGTCTCTAAAAATTACACTGTTCCTTGTTTTGTAAATCCTGCAGTGACCTTTAGTCAAAAGCAATAAAATCCAATTTTAGATTCTCCAGAGAAAATAAATATTATTAATGATGTGCGATTCTCTTTTAATTAAGTGAATCTGACACTTCTGCTCTCCTTTTGAAATAAGAAGAGTTGGTCAGAAGGGTTTTGCATACGGTAAGGAGCACAGTGAATGTATGTTGGATTGTTGTTGAAGTTCAAGAAGTCCTCATGTTGACATTTGGCTACTAACATGCTAAAGAGCCCAACAACTCCATTTCTAAGATGCTATTCTCCAAAACACTAACAAAGATATATAAATATGAACATATAAGGGTGTTTCCAGCAGCATTCTTAGAATAAAAAATGAAAATAACATTAACAGTCATCAATAGAGAATGAACAAAATAAGTGATGTTTCCGTCACATGGCAGAACTCTATACCACTATTGAAAGAATAAAGAACAGAAAGGGGCCCTGGTGGGGCGCATGGTTAAGTGCTTACTGTTAACTGCAAGCATTTAACTGTGCGCACCACCAGGGCCCCTTTCTGTTCTTCTTTATTCTTCAAACCCACCCAGCGACTCAGTGGGAGAAAGACCTGGCAATCTGCTCCCGTAAAGATCATAGCCAAGAAAACCCTATGAGCAGTTGTACCGCTTCACATGGGGTCACCATGAGTGAAAACAGTTTGGTGGCACCCAACAACAACAACAGCATGTGGGCAGATATGGAAATCTGTTCATTATAAGACAAAATAGTGAAAAGTGGGAAGGTTCCTTAAGACTTTCCTTGGGGAGTGGGATTTTACTTTTTATACTTCTGTTTAATTTGCGGGGTTTTTTGCAACAAGAATGCATTACTCTTGTTGCTTAAAATACATACATGTGTTTTCTCAAGGACCACTTGTCTTCTTGAGGGTAACACAAACAGAGGTTTGAGACCATCAAGGCCACAGAGACAATGGGGAACATCACCAGTTCTGGCTTCTCATTGGGGCTCAACGTGAAGGCGCTGGAACCCTAGGCTGGAAGGGGTACTGGGGGTGACCTTATCCAATGGCCTTCCTACTACAGCCCTGTCTCAGTCCAGCCCAGCAGAGTCCTCCCTTTGTGGAGCACTTGCTGTCTGCTCAGTGGATCCTCACTGTCTTCCCTTCCAAATGAAGGTTGAGAGGCCTGTCCAAGGCCACACAGTTAAGGACCATTGTTGTTGTTGTTAAGTGCTGTCAATCAGTTCCAACTCATAGTGACCTTGTGTAGGGTTTCCAAGGAATAACTGGTGGGTTTGAACTGCTGACCCTGTGGTCCACAGTCCAGTGCTGATCCGACAGCGACACACCAGAAGCCTTTAAGAGACCTGTTCAAGGCCACACTGCTAGGGACCATTACCCAGTCCTAAACCCCAAAACCAAACCCAAATCCACTGCCATCGGGTCAATTCTGATTCATGGGGACCCTATATAGGGTTTTAAGGCTGTAAATCTTTACAGGAGCAGAAAGTCTCATCTTTCTCCACAGAGCAGCTGGTGGATTTGAACTGCTGATCTTTCAGTTACCAATCCAGTGCTGAAACTCTTCACTACACAGAGCAGAAATAGGCCTGTCACCCTTTCTTTCCTGAATCTAAACAGCAACCAAAAAAAAGAAGAGTAAAGGAGATGAAGGAAAAAAAAGATAAAGCTAAGGGAGAAGACAATGAGCCAAGAGATCATAAGTCTTTGAGGGACTGGATGTCAGAGGAGAGGATTTCAAAGTCCAGGCAATGGAAAAGAAAAGGACTAAGAGCAGCCAGCAACCCAAGGCAAACCCTTGAGCTCTGCTGCCCTTCTCCCCTTGCACTCAAGGGAAATCAAGGGAAAGCCACTTATGGACCCACAAGGAAGCTAGAAGGGAAAAGTTGGAGGAGATGTTTTATCACGAGCCTAAAAAACAAAAAAGATGGGCCAGGCTGGGCAAGAACTGAAGGCTGGTAGAGGGGAGGAGCCAAGAGCAAGGTGAGAAAGGCCCCGGGCCACCACTGCTTACTGGGGCCCAGATTCCCAGAACTGAGAAAATAGTCTAGACAGGAAGTGATTAAGGCATGAATGAAGAATTTCCCCAAAGGTCGGGTCAGGGAAAGGACAGAGCTGGCACACAGGGCCAAGAGGGCAAGGTGCCAGTGGAGAGCAGGTGGTCTCCCACATCTCACCAGCATCTTGCACCAGCAAAAGTACGGTAGTCATAGTCGGGTGAGTCCATCTCTGCTGCCTTCCACAACAGGCCACACTTACTCCAAGGGCACATCTGGTTTCCCAAAGTCATGGACTGAGGGATCACTTGATTACGGAATCCTTGCAACTTGGAGGGTGACTTCTCCCAAGTGGCTCCTAACCAAGTTTCCTCCAGGGAATCTAGCCTGAGAACACGATTTGCAGAGAAGACCTTGGCGCCTTAGTTAATGGTAAACTCAATCAGTTGGTGTGTAAAGTGAGGGTGTGTCTGCCTCATGCCCCATCATATCCCTGGAACCTAACACAGGGCCTGGCTGCATTGTAGAAGCTCAATAACTCGTGTTTCAAATGTACAAATGAGGCTGCTTCAAAATGCTGATTTGATCTTGGGGCACATTAATGACATTTGTGACTTCTGGGAGAGAAGGCAGTGAGGACAGTTCAGGGTGTGGGACTGGATCAGTTCACAGACACTAGTAACCGTAACCATGCCCAGAGAAGAGAACAAGGAGTAAGGAGAAATATTCCAGGGTAAACAACTTTCTATGCGACTTAGCCGTGTCCAGCAACAAAACCAGCTGCCTGGAGTTGCCGCCCCTGCAGATTTAAGAGCTATCTAAACAACCATCAGCTGGTTGTCATTGCTTTTGGGTCCCCAAGAGTCAGTTCCAATTCATAGCAACCCTGTATGAGAGAGGAGAACTGCCCCCAAAGGGTTTCCTAGGCTATAATTTTTACAGCAGCGGATCACCAAGTCTTTTCTCCCACCAAGCCAGTGGTGGACTCAAACCATGCTTAACCATCGCGCCACCAGCACTCCTTCTGAGAATTTTAGAAGGAAGTAATTAGAATCAATGGCTTCTGAGGACCCAATCAACCGTGAGAGTCTTTAAATGTATCCAAACACTTCTTAATTGCCTTATATTTTTGGCCTGAGTAACATGATAGTGTATGTACCAAGATGTACAGTTTGGTTCCTATCATACTTTTAGAAAAAAAGAAACTAATTTATTTAACTTGTCTTCAAATGGCTTCCTTCCTTCAGTCTTTAAAGGATGTCTCTTAGTTCAAAGACTTCAGAGACCCACGATGCCAGGATTATTTGGACAGATTGGAACTGCCGTGTAACCAAGCATGGCTTCAGTTTGTGTTTGTGAAGCATGGGATAATGGAAGACACAACTGAGTCCAGAGAGATCTGTTTGCTAATCCTGGCTCCATCCTTGAGACCCTCAGGTCCCAATTATTCCCACTAGAGCCTCAGGCTCCTCATCTATAGTGTGGAGATAACCATGCCTATCTCGTGGAGGTGCTGCAAGAGTTAACTGGGATCTGGTGCATTTAAAATGCATGCACATTGAACATTTGCAGACTTAATGGTTAGTGGACAAAGAAAAGAACAAAACTAGACACATGCACACATTCGAGCTGCCTTTTTTTGTGAGTCTTGTCAATTTATAGCCACACCTTACTTACTGACCCTTGGGCATCCAACTTAGCTCCATCACAAACTTTACTCACCAAACGGAACTCCAAATGACCTTATGTTCCTAAAACTCAAATCTCCCTTCAGATGAAGCTTTACTCCCATGAGGCAATTCAGAAGATGTGCCAAGGTTCTTAAGAAAGTTCCCAAAGAAATGGTCCAGAATATAGTGAGCACAGACAGAGTGGTAGGAGCACTCTTAAAACACTCAAGGCTCATTGGGAAGACGTGAGTTCTGGTCTACCTGTTTAAAAAACATAACCAAACTAGTCTTCGGCTTTAGCCATAGTCATACAAAATGCCAAGGTGGAATGAGCCTTTAGAGATTAACCAACCTCAGATCTCATCCTTGCTGTCTCAAATACACACATACCCACTGGTCAGGTGGGAAGACTGAGGAAGAAAGGAAAAGTTATGAGTGAACCCACAGCACAGCTGGTACTGGCTGTAGGCTTCCTGCCTCCAGTTTCCTCACTACCCTAAACTGCCACTCTGAGCTGGGCACTGATTAGCATCAGTCCCTTACCCCTACACCTCCAAGGCACCCCGGTAGCCCAGCCAGATCCCAGGGCTCCAACTTCTGTCCTCAAGTAGACTTAAATTCATGCAACTGAGCTGGAAACTGGCCAGCTCTGGGGATTGTATGAGTGAGTAGCATTCCCCCAGTTAGACAAGCAAAGGCCAGTTCCCAGGAAGAATGGCATGGTCCTTCTCCCCACCCCCTTGTCAACAAAGCTAGAGACTGGGAGAAATCATATACTAACCCCTCAGAAGAGGGTTTGGGTTATAGACCCAGAAAACCTGGATAACTGATATCCCCGTATAAATTATTTTTAGCTAACAGTTTTGATCTTCTCACCCACACTTTACTTATCACAGCTGTAGCCTATCTTTTCTGCTCCTGGAGGGGAGTGGGGACAAGCAATGGGGTGTCTTTAGAGACCGGGGAAACTTTCTAATCATCAAAGATGATTTGAGAAGTAGTGAGTTCCCTATCACTGGAAGCATACAAGAAAAAAACTGGTGGACATATGATAAAGTGGACATGGGGGAGGACGCTAGATCTTTCAGGTCTCCTCTACCCTGAGATTGTATCATTCTAAGACCATCATGAGGAGAGAAAAGTTAGGGACCTGAAGGATGGCCAAGGGGCTCTCCAGGAAACCCCCCTGGGGAAAGAGTGTGTGACTCTTACCTCGGCAGCCTTGTTCCTCCCCTCATACAGCAGCAGCTCCTCCGACAACAGGAGGGTCCGGGCAGGGTTACAGAGATCTAAAGGCTGGAAACAAAGCAAGGCTGGAGCTGAATGGGCAGTCCAAAATGGCCAGGCGGCGATGGTATGGAGAGGGAGGAGACAGCTTGTCAAATCAGCCACAGGGAACACCCCCCAGCCCTCATCCTCCTACACACACACACCCACAGCCCCAAAGTGGAAACAGAAAGGCAGATGCCTCTGTCCTGTGCGGAACTATTGCTACCACCTTCCGCACCAAGCCTCGTTATGAGAGCAGTATTTTCTGGCAGGAAGTTCAACCACACGGTTAGGCCTTCTGCAGTCTCACCTCCTCCTGCTCTACTCCTGGGCCCTCCCAGCCCCCACACTCTCTGCTCCGTTCATGCTTCATGTGAAAGTTTCTGCCATCTGGTCCACATTTCCAAGGATGCCTCCTGCCCAGCCAGTGACCCTCACTCATACTGGGAGACTCGGTCACTTAAACCCCTTCAAGTCCAGGCTACCCCCTGCTTTGCATTCATACCACATCTGAGCTCAGTTACTCCTACTCAGTTCCCCAGGGGCCAATTCTCACCCAAATCTCTCACCACACCTCATCATGCAGCCTCATCCCCCCGTCCCCCTCATTAAAGCACTCCCCAAAGCACACCCTGTCCAGCCCAGAGAAAACTCCCTGAGCCCTGGATTATTCCCATGAATGTAGATTAATAACACGCCTTCTAGGGAAGATAATGAAACAAATATCAACTACACGTAACACCCTGTATGAGGCTTACAAATAATAGGAAGCAAAAGAAGCAAGACCCAAAAGAATACACACAGTACAGCCGCATTAAACAGCATCCAAAGAGACCAAACAAAACACTGGCTATTTAAAACGCATACGTGGAGCACAAGACAAAAGAAAAGCAAGGGGAAAAAAATCACCACACAGTCAGGCCAGTGAATGGCTCTGGGTGGGAGGGAGAACTCGAGGGTTGGGAAGAGCTCCCAGCAGGTTCTGGAGTGGTGGCAACAGTCTAGTCCTTTATCTCAGAAGAAAACCAAACCGATGGCCATCAAGTCCATTCTGACTCAGTGACCCTACAGGACAGAGGAGAACTTCCCCACAGGGTTTCCGAGATTGTAAATCTTTACGGGAGAAGACATCCTCATCTTTCTTCCACGGGGCAACTGGAGGGCTCGAACCGCCAACCTTGTAGTTAGTAGTCCAGCGCTGATCCTACAGCACCACCAGGGCTCCAACTCACTTCATAATTATTTGTTAAATGGTACATCTAAAGGGTTAGACTGCTTGGAGTTTATACAGTTCACAATTCGAAGTTTTCATAGCGTCTTTTAAAACTAATTTTAATTGTTTCTAAAAATTTCAAAGTGATGATGAAAACTAGTACCCCACTGATGCCAAAACCTTTGTGTTATGTCCCAAGAAAGAGAAGAGACCAACTGAAAGCCAACAGCCTACAGAGTCGTCTGGGGAGATGGGTGTCATCCATTGGAAATAACTCCAAGTCTGAACAAAGTGTGAGCTCTAAGAATCCCCAGACACTGATTGTACAATATGGTGAGAGTAATTAGTCACCAAATAGTGCACATAAAAATGGCTGAAATGGTAAATGCTTTGATGCATATATATTGCCACCATAAGGTGTTTTTTGTTTGTTTGGTTTTGTGGTTTGTGGGGGTTTTTTTAAGAGCTGAAAACAACAGCAACAATGAAAAGATTCACTTGAACAGTGAAGTTCCAGGAAAGGATGCCAGGGAGCCTGGAGAAGGAACGCTTGGAAACAAATGAATCCCGGGAAGAGTGCAGGGAGTCACCTCGGTGCTGCTGATGAGAGGATATGCTTTGAAAGCGGTTTGTCAATATGTACAAAGAGCCTTTCAAATGTTTAGACTCCACGACCCAGTCATCTCACTTTTAGGTGCTCTCTCCCGAGGAAAACAATCAGAGAGGCAACTCATTCATAAGGATTTTCCACACAAAGCTATTTACCACAGCAAAAGAAGTAGAAATTTGATTAAGTAAATATGATGCACCCAGATAATACAATAGTGTGCAGCCACTACAAAACACAGGCTTGAAGAATATTTAATGAGATGAGAAATGTTCTTGCTATAAGTTTTGTTTATAAAAAAAAAAAGGCAATAAGATATAAAATGTACAGTCAGACCTGTTTTATGTTCACACTAGTTATATCTGTGTGGTGGAATAAACAAAGGGTTAATTTGGGGGAGAAGAAGTAGATGTAGAAGAAGGGAAGAAGGAAGAAGTAGAAGAAGGAAAATCTAAAAGAATCTCAGACCACAAGCTAACACTGGCCAGACATGTTTGCTAACATCAAGAAGACCCGACAAGATGTCCAGACCTCAAGGCTCTCCCTCTGTCGTCTCCAAACAACAAACCGCTGGATGAGCAAGGAAGCAGGCGTCTCAACACGCAGACCCTACAAAATTACAGTGAGCCATGGACAGGATACTCAGCTAGGTGTACAGAGCTGTAGCGTGCCTGCCCTGTCCCAAGGAGGGTAAGGGAAGGGAGGGACCCTCTTGTTGCTGAGCTCTCCTGACCCCACGTTCCTGTTCCTCTTAGAAACTTCTAGTCTCTCAGTATAAACCCCAGAATCCTGAAAATCTTTCCTAAAAGGGGCCCTCAGTCTTGGGGCACAGGCTACTCCTCTCTCTCACTTCTTCCTGAGGGGTTCCTTGGGGCTAGCCACCAGCTTACCTGAACAAAGACGGGGAACACCAGGACCTTGGGGGCCAGGGTGACGTAGGTGCCGTAGCTTGAGTGCGAGGTGCGTGGCCTCATGACTGTGCAATTCTGGTAGTTCCCATGGCTCTTCATGGTCTGCACTGTCTTCATCAGTCGAGACTTCTTTCCCAGGCCTGTGTGAGACTTCCCTTTACTGGGACTCTCTGATTCTGCAGAACAGAGATGGGGGACTCTAAGGCATTTCCATCAGCCCTGTCTATGGAAACAGGGAGCAGAGACTCATTCAATCAATAACCATTTTCTAGTATCTACTACTCCTGGTGTGGCGTTGTAGGATAAGCACTGGACTATGAACCACAGGGTCAGTGGAACAAGTCCACCAGCTACTCCTTGAAAGCACTAAACAGGGTCAATATGAGTTGGAACTGACTCAACAGAACTTAACAACAGCTATGTGCCGGGTCTTGTGCAATGGGTCTTGAGACTCCAGGAATCCACTCACACTTTAGTAAGAGAAGTTGACAAGTAAACAAAGTCACTCTAGGACTAGGACAGAGCTGAAACCCACCAAGTATTAACGCAACAGTGCCTATGAGGTGATTCAGGACCTTAATCAGACCTATCAAATTGACCTCAAACTTGACTTTTAAAACTCAGGAAAAATCAGAAAACTGGCCCGACAGTCCCACGTGGACAGTGGAGCAGAGGCAACAAGTACCCCATGCGTCAAGGCATGTGTTTTCCCCCTTGTCAGCATCCCCACCGCCCCCAGCCATGGACAAAGGGGTTGGAGATCCACCTTCTGCTACACTAACAGAAGCGGTGGACTTTCCCAGGACAGATCAGTGTCTGACCTGAGCAGCCTGGCTCCCTAGGTCAGTAGAATAAGGAACACTTACTGCTCCAGAGCCTGGTGAAGAACTGGGCTCAAGTGCTCCTCCCCACTCACTAGCTTAGTGAGTCACGCCACCCCTCACTCAAGAGTCTTGGTTCCCTCAAGTTTAATAATAGCATCAAGCTTACTGGGTTGCTTGAGATTAAATGAGCTGCTCTGTGTGAAGCCCTTAGAATAGGACTTGTTGATGTTGCTTGCTGTCAAGTTGATGCCAACTTATGGTGACAGCATGTGTTGCAGAGTAGGACAGCTCTACAGGGGGTTCAAGTCTCTGGGCTTCTAGAAAGTAGGTCACCACGCCTGTCTTCAGAGAGACCAATGGGTGGGCTTGAACTGCCAACCTTCTGACTAATAGTCAAGTACTGAACCATCTGTGCCACCAGGGAATCCATGAACAGGGTCTGGGGCCTAGTAAGTATGAAATGAAAGTTAGCTGCCAAATTACTGCTGTTCTTGTTTCAGTGATTCCTCCACTTGGAAAAGTGAGTTAATTCGGTGCTCCAATGGACTCTGGTAATCCTAGGCTTCACCCTATTCAGGAGGTACTCTTGGATAGGCTACCAACTCAAAAGTGGTATTTAAAACACCATTCCCAGGGAGGAAAGAGAAGAGAGGGAAACTGGGCTGCCCCCAGGAAAGAGAAGACTTCTATTAGACTGGCAAGAGAATTGGCTTTAAGGGAACAGTGCTGTGCCCCCTCATGTCATCGGGGGTGGCACACAAGTCTTCCCACTTCCCACCGAACAGAAAGGAGAACAAAATACAGGGCAGTTAAAATGTCAGGGGTTCTTGGAGGCAGCAGAACTCCAGGGCAGTTGGGCTCCACACATACCTGGGTCCCTCCCAGGGATTCCTGCTGCCAGTTGGGCAGCTGGCCAGGTCCTCCCTGGCCTCCATGTCCCAGGGCCCCTGCCTGCTTCCGCCACCCCTAGCCCTAGCAGCTGGGAGGCTGCTTCAGCTGAACAGGTGGCCTGACCCCCAGACACATCTCGGGGAAGCTCCCCACCAACGCCAGGCTTCTGCTGCAGAGGCAAAGCCCTGCTCAGAAGGTTTCACATTCGCCTCCTCAGCCCACCCCATACTCCTTCTCACCAAGCAAAGTGAGAAAAACAAGTTGACTCCCCCACATACCCAAGTGACCACCCAGTTGTGTCTTGGGGCAGCACTCAAACCATAATGACTTAAACCACTTCCTGTCTCTTCAGTGAGTTGCTTAAAGAGGAGCAGAAGTATGAGCCCAGGACGGGGCAGGAGGGAGCAGGTAGGTACAGGGAAGGAGCTACGCAGCTCCGTGTCTGATCTGACTCTGAATACCAGTTCCAAAGGGGTCTGTGCTGCCCTGACCCCAGCCCTTGCCACTTGGCTGAAAGGCCCAGCCAGGGTCTCAAGATCTGCACTGGATTGGAGCAGAACAAGGGACCCAAACGTGAGCAATAACTTCCCCAAGACCTGTTGTACATTCTTGCCCAGATTCTCCCCCGATCTGAGCCAGAATTCTCTCCACTGCCCAGTGCCAGTGATACAGAGAGCTGCCCTGTCTGTTCCAACACCAGTGAAGGCTCACACGTGGAAGGGGAAGGGTTTTGTGAATTGTTTCACACTGTGAGTACACAAGGTGTTATTATAATCTCCAGCCACTGGAAAATCCACCATCATCAGGGCTGGGGGCCAGACAGGCAGGGCTACCGGGCCTCAAACCCTACTATGAAGGGGGCAACAGCGTCAGCACTAGACAAGCCTAGTGAGGAAAAGGCAAAACCACACAGGACTCACGAGCAAAGGAAGTGAGGAAAAGTAGACCAGAATTAAAGAGGCACTGTTTGACATCCCAGTTAATTGGCCTAATAACATGTCTAGTGCTTCTGTTCTACCTCGTAGTTCATTGTATAGTGCCTGGGACTTTAAAAGCTTGCAAGCAGCCATCCAAGGCACAATGATTGGTCTCTTATTCACTTGTAGCATCAGAGGAAGAAGGAGAGTCAGGAATAGTAGAAAGTTATGGAATGTGGGGCTAATTGTCTCCATGAACAAGTGCCTCCTTTGCCATGAGACCAGAAGAACTGAATTGTGCCTGGCTACCATGTGGTGCTCTGGTAGCGTAGTGGTTATGAATCGGGCTGCGAACCTTAATGTCAGCAGTTCGAAACTACCAGCTGATCCGAGGGAGAAAGATGAGGCTTTCTGCTCCAGTAAAGATTTACAGCCTTGGAAACTCTGTACAGGGTCGCTATGGGTCGGAACAAACTCGACGGCACATAACAACAACAACAACCATGTGGCACTGTGGGCTAATGCATCAGACTGCAAAACTGTTTGAACTGCCAGGTTGGTGGTTCAAGTTCACCAGCTGCTCCTTGGAAACCCTATACAGGGTCGCTATGGGCCAGAATCAACTCGACGGCACTTAACAACAACAATAGCCATTACTGAATATTTTGATAAAAGATACTATTGAAGAATTCTGATCAAAACGGGGGAGGGGGGGGAGGGGGAATGCAGAACAGAACTTTAAAATCTCAGGGACTCCAGCTTGTCTAGAACCAAGGAAGCTGGATGAACCCAAGAAACTATTGCCTTGAGAAGATTTTTAAACCTTAAGCCAAACTAAACTATAGCTTCACAAGTAAAAAATGTCTAGCTTGAGCATTATGTTCTTTTAAGACTTACCGATCTATACAAGATCATGTTGCCAACAGCAACTTGACAGATTAGATAGGACCCTTAGGGGGCAGTGAGTCGACGTAAATGAGGGAGGAAGAACTCAGAAAAGGAGGCTGAGAAGATTTGCACAACTCAAAGGATCCGATCAGTGTCATGAAGCAGCCCATGTAGCACAGCTCAACTGCTGTATATTTTATTGTGTCTATCTCAACAACAACAAGAAAACAAAATTCAACTGAAAAGAGGTAGTGTTTAGAGATGCCAACATTGGAGCCCCGTGCCCCTTAGTTGAGTAAAAAAATCCCTTTCTTCCCTTCTCTGTTCAGATGCCCAGGGCTGGCATAGCATCTTAGACGTTGTTGTTATGTGCTGTCGAGTCGATTCTGACTCATAGCTGCCCTATATACGGCTTCCAAGGAGTAGCTAGTGAGTTGAACCGCTGACCCTTTAGTTAGCAGTCCAGTGCTTATCCTACAGCACACAGAATCATAAATAAACCACCTGCCAACTACCACAGCCTTCAGGTCAGAAGGTCTGCTTACCCCCAGTAAATAAATAAGGTCTGGAGTGGCTGGGTGACTTGTCATGGTCATTTGGGCAGTAAAGAGTACAAGGGATATTAACCCAACTTACATGAGAGTCATGCCTTATGGCCCCAACTCCACACACCCTGGACAAAATGTAGTGGCGGAGCATGTCTCTCCAAAACTGATTTTTGAAGTATCTCTTTCTAAAACAGTACAGGCTACAACTCCATTACTAAGCTCTGTGAAGGCAAACTCATTTCTTTCTCACCTATGAGTCGGAACTGACTCAATGACATTCAACAGCAACAACCCCTGGCTACCTCTCATCCAAACCTCCATATCACTTGTTTTTCCACAACACCTGCTTCATTGACCAAACACAGTAATTACACGGCTTTACTCATGACTTCCGAAGCGAGCCCTGGCAGGCATTCCACCCTGGCAGTGGTGAATCTGAGGTCGGGCTGCCTTTACAGGGCAGGGGACAATGCTGAGGGCACTAGCAACCGGGGGTACATGCCAACTACCAGCAGGCAGGTGGCCTCAGGCTCCGGAAGGGCACCAGACCCTATTCAATACATGAGGACTCAACCCTCCCTCCTGAAAGGAAGCCAGGCGGTCCAATCAAGGGAGGAGGGCTGAGATGCAGGCAAGCCCTGGTGGCAGCTTTAACCTCTGGAGAAACTCCAGTGTGTCTAAGGGACGTCTGGACTCCTAAATCATATTCCTTCTCTGGACCCATAAGCTTGGCATACTTGTGATGTCCTTAGATACCAAAGTGATTATTATTATGAAGAACAAACAGGGTAGAGTCGAGATCTTAATATAATCCATTCAGAAAGTTACCACTGTTAACTAAAAACATCATGATTGTCCTACTTGTCCCTTTCCCCACAGCTTAGAATAAATACTGTGCCCTTCTTGTGTCGCTGAGTGCTGTATCCTCGGAGGGAAATCAGGGCATGTTGGGGGAACACCAGGGAGGTCAAGACGGACTCTACCCCAGAATACCAAGCCTGTGTTCACTCACAGCCATGGAGGCAACCACAGTGACTCTCCTTCAGTCAGTCAGTCAACCAAACGTTCTGTTGTATCTACAGTCTGCCCTGCAGGTCTTGATCTGCCCTTAATGAAGTGGTATCTCCACTCTAACCTAATGTGCTGGCTAAAACATTAAAAAAAAAAAACTCATTGCTTAATGATTCTCAGATTTCTCTCCAGAAGGAATGGAGACTTATCTCCAAGAGATCAGGCCCAACTGGACCAAGGCCTCCAATTAGAAAAGAAGAGTGTGCCTTCCATCATAACCCTGAACCTGGTGGAGCCCTTTTTATCCAGAACCACACAGGCAGGCTTCCAGGTACTGGCTATAAACAAGCATCATCTTGACACTACAGATGGAGGGAGACAGCAAGGAAGTAAGTCAGCAAGTGGCGGGGACAAGGCCATAGACGGAGGTCAAAGGACTTTCTGAAAGCACCAGAGGAAGGGCTCATGCACACCTGGCAAGGCTGCTTCCACCTTCCAGATACCAGCTCGACTGCTGAGTCAGAGGTCTTCAACAGGCACATAAATGGCCTAAAAGAACGGCCACCAACATCAGCATCATAAATTATCTCTCAGGTTTCCTGGAAGAAGGAATTGTTTTTGAGCCCAACTTCTACCCTTGGCTGGGATTTGACGAGTTAAGGAGATGAATCAGTTCAAACATTAGAGACATCTCTGCACTTCAAAGACAAGCACACTCAGTGAAGCATCTCACAATAGACAGGCTACTGCACTCAACCATTATCTAATCTGATCCGCCCAACAACTCTCTAAGGCAGGAATTTCCAACTCCTTTTTGCAAGAAACTGAAGTTCAAAGGTTCTTCTTGTTGTTGCTAAGTGCCGTCGAGTTGGTTCTGACCCATAGCGACCCTGTATAGGGTTTCCGAGGAGCAGCTGGTGAGCTGGAACCGCCAACTTGCAGTTCAAACAGCTTTGCAGTCTGGCGCATTAACCCACAGCGCCACACAGAGGTTCAAAGGTATACAGCTAGAATTCAAACTTGAGACTTTCCAGCTCCAAATTGCTCTGCCTCTCTTCTGGACAGGCCAGACCACATTCCCAATAGCATGGAACACATATTGGTTGGTCAGTAAAACTGACTGAATCTCAGTGGAATGAATGCGTCTTGAACTGTTAAGACTGCTCCTGGAAGATTCCCTTTCTTCCCTCTTCCATGGGGAAAATAAAGGCACCGGTTCAATGACGGAGAAAAGGCACCAAGAGGCAGAGAGTCTGTGTTGATTATGCTGCAAGATCTTGACTCTGTTAGACAGGACTCTGAAATCAGATGAGGAGGCTGGGCCGAGTGCCCAGCTGGTCTTGCCATTCACCAGGGACTTGGAGCACACACAGAAGAGCAGAGACTCACCTTCAGGAATGGTGTCCTCCTGGAATACGGGCCTCAGCAGCTGCAATGGAAAGACAGAAAAACCACTTCAGCCCCAGAATTGGGGCAAGACACCAAACAGGCTTCTGGACAGACCCCAGGCCTGGAAAAGCCCAGGGACTAGATAGAGCGCAGAGCCATTGAGGCCATGAGGAAACCGCAAACCCGCTGAGGAAAGAAGCTTGGAAAGAACACAGAATCCCAGGATGTTGGGCTTGAATGAGGCTTGAGTTGTCCTCAAGTCTAATTCTTTGGTCAGTTCTCCAACATCCTTTACAGCAGCTGTTCCAAAGTGCAGTCCATGGAACACTGGTACTGTGGGATAATACTATATTATATCATGCCATAAAGGATGCCACCGTCCGCTACGTTTGAGAAATTCTGGATCCTTTTTGACTGAGGATCCCCTCAGCCTTGAACAGACCAATGTGCACCACGAATCTCCCAGAGGAGGAAAAGAATATGGAACATTTCTCAATTCTATTTTGACCTCAGGGAACTCATGTTTTGGGGAACATATGGCATCATTCCTATATGCCATCCTCCAGTGTCTGCTTTCATATCTCCTGTGACAGGGAGCTTCCAAGACAGCCCATTCCACCACAGACAAGCAGGCTTATTGAAATCTCTGTTGATGTGGCATCTTCCACCCTGTGACACCCCCAGTGACCCTGGATCTGTGCCTTGAGGTCACATTGTCCTCTCTACCTAGGGCAGTCCTGGATTTCCTCACTCTCTGGCTTAACACCCCCACCCCTTGGCAGGCTCCTCTCAACACAATTTTGAGTCTTCAAATCTTCCTGGGCTTGCACCGGAACCCAATATCCCTTATCTTCCCCAAACCAGCTGTCCGTACCTGGCTCCCAGGGTTCAGCGGAGCCAGGATGATGTAGTTGGGGTCCGTGGGGGCAGTGGCACGGGACAGCGCAGGCATGGTATGCTGGCCCCCATGCTTGGCCACCTCGGTGTAGCGTTCCCAGCCACCAAGCAGCAGCCCGTCTGAGCTATCACACACCAAGTGGCAGCTGTGGCGTTGCTCAGGCCGGACCTGGGCCCCATGGGTGCAGTTCTTCTCCCGCTTGTTGGGGGGTGACTGAAGGTCATGTGTTGACTTGCAGGAGGCCCTCCGTAGCACCCCGCCATCCGGCCCTGGCTTGACCTGAGGGACCATGCGCCACACAAGTAGGATGATCTCACTAGGGCAGCTCCTGGAGGTGGGGGGAGGGCACAGAGAAAAGGTGAGCCAGGGTGGGGGGCCTGCAGAAGCAAGGGAAAAGAGTAGGAGAGAAAGAAGCAAAGGGAAAGATCCAGTCGATGTCAGGACGGGAAGGGAGGTAAAAGTCATATAAAGCAGAGAAAGCAAAATGGGCCTCTTAGGTCAACTCGAATCGATTGGTACTGATTGAGGAGGGCCTTGAGGTCAAACCCAGGATGAGACACCAGGAAAGACTGCCATACTCAACTAATGATGTCTGCCTTGGGCAGAAGATTAACTAGGGGCAGGCAAGCAACCCCTCACCTAGTCATTCTAGAGACCAACTCCTGGTGTGGCCTGCAGGATAATACAATGGACTGCAAGGTCAGTTGGAACCAAAAGGTCGGCAGCTCAATTCCACCTGCTGCTTCTCGGAAACCCTATCCAGGGTCACTATGAGTAGGAATTGATTTAACGGCATACAACCACACCAACAGCAGGGCTTCCCTCCCCCTCCCCCTCACATGCACACACACAGATTCTATTGCTTTGGAGTCCATTGTGACTGGTGGTGACCCCACTTGCTACAGAGTAGAACTGCTCCATGGGGTTTTCTTGGCTGTAACCTCTATGGATGCAGAGCACCAAGCTTTTCCTCCTCAGTGACACTGGGTGGGTTTGAACCACCAACTTTGAGTTTATGGGACAAGGCTAAACCACTTGCACCACTCAGGGACCTCAGGGGATCAAAATTTAAGGAACTCAAACAGTAAATTTAAAAAAACAGGACAAAACAAAAGCCCTACTTAATGTTTAAAGTGCGCTACTTAAACACTTGCAGCAACTACACATCCTCCAACCTAGCTCTTTGTTGTTGTTGTTGTTGTTAAGTGCCGTGGAGTTGGTTCCTACTCATAGCAACCCTGTATAGGGCTTCTGAGGCTGTAATTCTTTACAGGAACAGAAAGCCTCATCTTTCTCCCACAGAATGGACGGTAGTTTTGAACTGCTGACCTTGACATTAGCAGCCTGACTTGTAACCACTACGCTACCATATTCACGGAGCCGTGTCATGGACCACAGAATCTATTTGAGAACTTCTCCATTTGCTCTGGGGGCCCCAATGGCTGAAAGTCTGAACAGTCCACTTTCAGGCAAAGAAGTTGATTCAAAGTGAATGACCCCCAGTTGGGCAAAGAAGGGAAAGGCAAGAGCAGGGTAGGGTGGTGCGTCCGGGGCTGGGTGGGAGGGTGTGCCATCAGCGTGAGGCCCGAGACTGCCCGCCAGCCCTGGTACCTGATCTCGTGCGCCAGCTCCACACATTTCCAGTGCTCCACGGGTCTCTGGTTCAGTTGTAGCACCGTGTCCAGCTGCTGCAAACCTGCCCTCTCCGCCGGGCCCCCTGCCCCAACAAAGAAAAGCCACTCAGGGGTCCTAAAAGCTCAAGTTCCCTGAAGGACTTGAACCCTTTGCCTCCATGGTGACCGGGGGCAAGGGCTATCCCTCTCATTTCTTCATCTGTGACAGACTGAACTGGTGGCCTATTGGGCCTTTGCCTTCACCTCCCTGCCAAAGCTAGCTCACCTCTCTGCTGCCCACCCTGCATGTGAACCCCTTCCCTCTCAACCGAGGGGCTCCCTCTACCACCAATGGTCCTTCCTTGTCCCCAGGCTTCCATACTTGATTCATGCCCAGTCCCAGGGGACACCCAGATCACCGAGCCCTGGCTTCTCTCTAAAGGGGATCACTCTCTGATTAAGTAGTGGGTGGTTATTTTAAGTGCTAATCCGGCTTGGAATAGAATAAAATACCAATTCTGAACAGAGGTCATAAAATCCTCTCCTTTTTCAATGCCATCATTGCTAAAAATATAAGCTTAGTTCCTATTCAAAATTACTGGGAGCCAAAATATAAAAACCTATTTTCATTTTGGTTTAAAAAAAAGAGTGAGTATATTTTCATAAACCTCAGTTTCATCTGTGATCATTTAAAAATACTGTTCTTCTCATCTTGGACAACCAGCACACTGTTCCAGTGTGGGGCTCCCTGTTCAGTTTCAACCTTTGTTTGCAAAGCCCAGGTGTGTGGCTGGACACGGTCCAAGTGACTCACTTACCAGAATCCACTGCTTGGACACGGACGGGAGAGTCGCAGCAGATGGTGAAGCCAAAGCCGTCCTTCCCCCTTGGGATGGTGATCTAGGACATAGCCCTACCCAGTTACTCCCAGAAGCCATGAGGCCCCATCCCAGAGCCACCCTCCTCTCCTTTCCAAGGGTCTAGAACCAAGGAGTAGGCCAGTGGGCCTTTCACTGTCAGTACCTCAGCCCAGGCATCTTGAGTACTGGGTCAAGCTCAAAGGCCGAGAGTTCAGGAGGCAAGCCCAGACCGCTGAGGGGAAGGCCTGGGACTGAACTCTGGGAGCATAAATCTTACCATCCTCAGTCCCAGCACACATGCAGCCCACTGCAAGTACACATCTCCACCTCACCTATGACCTACTGCCTGTCCACATCCCTACTTCCCTTTCAGAGGTTCAGGGAGCATCAGCTGACCTTGTGCTTGAAGGAGGGGGCCCAGAGACAGAACAGAGCTGGTCGCTCCCCTCTCAGAGCACATGGGGGTGAAGACAGAGACACACACATTCACAATCTCGGGCCAAGGTCAGGGGAAGAGTGCTGGGTTTTCCAAGCTGTCCATCTCCAGAATCACAGGTATTCAGTGAAGGCTTTCAAAGCTCCCTGGTGAGGGACCCCCTGAACTTGAACTGCCCACTGACCTCACTGCCCATTCAAGTGTAGAGCAGGTCCCCAGTCCCTACTTTCAGAAGTCCCATGAAAGGATCCTGTCACCTAGATGTTCTTTACAGTGTCACACACACTTAACAAGTCCTACCACACAGCAGGCTTTGCTGAGGTACAGAGTCTGAGGTCTCCATCTCTGCCTCCCAGAGGGGCAAGACAGTGTAAGCACTAGAGTAAATGGTGAGGGCTGGGTTGAGATTATAGAGACAAGAGCGCTTTGACTTTAGATTTTATAGAAGAATCTTGATCAAAGTGAGGGGAGGGGGGGGACTTCAAATTAGAATGGAATCCAGAATCTCTGGAGTCATTGAGGCTGAAAGAACCCCCAAAACTATTGCCCTGAGAAAATCTTCAAACTTTAAAACCAAAAAAAATCCCCTGCAGTCATCTTTAAGCCAAACAGTTGATGTTGCTGCTGTTTAAGTGCCATGGAGTTGGTTCCAATCCATAGTAGGGTTTCTGAGGAGTGCCTGGTGAGCTAGAACCGCTGACCTTGCAGTCCAAACCAGACTTGCAGTCCAGCACATCAACCCACAGCACCACACCAGGACCAGTTTAGCTTAACTAGTGTCTGCCTCGAACACTGTGTTCTTTTCAAGGATTACCTACATGAGCTCCAACTGACAACAGCAACTCAAAAGATCTGATGAGAAACTCAGGGGTCAGTGAGCTTGCGCCAACGATGGTTAAACAATTAAGGTAAGGCTGTGTGGAGCTGTGGGTTAATGTGCCAGACTGCAAAGCCATTTGAACTGCAAGGTCAGCGATTCGAGCTCACTAGCTGCTCCTTGGAAATCCTATACAGGGTCATTATGGGTTGGAACCGACTCAAAGATACTTCACAACAACAACAATCAAAAGTCAGAAAGGTAATACAACTTGAAGAATGCAACCAGAGCCACTGAACTATAGAGGTAGAAATTGAACCGATGTATGTGCAGCTATGCATGTCTTCATGGGAATGAAGTAAGTTTGGTAAAGTGCTTAAACTGACGACTCCATGCTTGAAGCACAGTAGGGACTCAGGAAGGCTAAGTAAGTGAGGAGAACCAGCATGGTCCCACCAGCAGAAGGTACAGTGAGATTTGCTGGCTCAGGTCAGTTGTCCTCTATTAGGTTTTGGGTGGAGTGCAATTCAATGTCACTCAGAACATTTGAATGAGAGCTACAGAGCTAAGAGCAGGAAAAGTCAGAAAAAGAATTTAGTGGGTTTCCTAGAGACCCCTTAGAAGAAGTGGGACTTGAAGAGGCCTGATGATGTGTTGGGGAGGGAATCCCAGGCAGGCTGAGGAAGAAGCCAGCTCAGAAGTCCTGTCAGGAGACTTCCATCTCCTCCCTTAAAGGTGATCCCTTCAAGGCGGGGTGTCCAGGATTCACCTGTAGGCTGCCCGAAAGTCAGGCATGAGGAAGGGAAGGGGGCCCAGGGTGGCCAAGGCTTTGGAAGCTCCGGGGCCCCTGAGGCTATGCTTCCCACCAGTCCTGGGCCTGGATTCAAAGCAAGTTTGTAAAACAGGAAATCTGACAGACATGGGGAAGGGGGAGGGGGCAGGAAAATACCCTGTTCCCATAAGAATTCTGGGAAAGCATGCAGCTAAGACAGGAAGAGAAAAAAAATGGAAAGAAAGAAAGAAAAACAAACCTTGGCGTGAGTGCGGAAGCTGCAGCAAAGAAGCCCCCTCTGTCCAGCCCAGCCTGAGGCAGAGCGGGGCATGGCAGGAGCCTGGTCCACTCTAGGACCAACCGCAACCTTCTGTGGGGCCTCACAACGTACCCCTCAACCCAAGTAGAAGCCGGGATTCCCAAGCTTTTCCAGCAGCCACCCCCATCCCCAATCCGAACTCACCAAAGGTCCCCAGCCCTTCCTGCTTGGGGTGTTGGCTCGGAAAACCGATCCCAATACCCCTGGTCCCAGAATTGAGTCTGGAGAGAAGGAGTCTAGCTTCCTCTTCCACACCCTGACCACCCCATCTAAGCGGGACTGCAGAAGATGGCTGTCTAACCCAGGTGGAGGGTGGTAGGAGGGAAAGGGAAGGGTGTGAGAGAGCAAGTTCATCTCCTGACTCTGTGTAGGGGAGTACAACTCCGTGAAGGGAGCAAAATTGTGAGCAACGATCACATGAAGAGGATACCGTCCCAAATTCCTGACCATCACTTCAGCCCTGAGAGGAATGAGGGACTAGTTTTAGTATGTCTACTTTACAGAAAAAGAAACTGAGGCCTGAAGTAAGAAAGTGACAGCTCCCAGGTCTCAGTCCTCTGGTTCAGGTGAGGGGCACAGCCCTATGCCAAGTCGGGACCTCGTGGCTCCTGACATAGGCTGCCCTTCCTGGGGGTGGTTCTTGCTCTATCCTGTCCAGAGCAGGAACTCTGCTCCCAGCTGTCACTGTGCCCATACATCATGTCTGCTCCCTGCCCCAACCCCTGATCCTGTCATGCCTAGACTTCAATCCCAACGGTCACCATCTCTTGGCCCCTTCCTAAATGTACACAACAGGCACTGTGGCAGGCCCTTCACACACATCAGTTCATTTACTCTTATGGCATCATTGTTGTTGTTGTTAAGTGCCATCAAGTCCATTTCGACTCATAGCGACCCCGTATAGAATTTCCGAGGAGCACCTGGTGAGTTTGAACTGTCGGCTTTGAGGTTCAAACCAACTTTGCAGTCCCGTGCTTATCCTACAGCGCTACACTAGAACATGCATCATTACTGAGTACTATTCTCCTTATTTTACTGACACAGAAATTGAGGCTCAGAGAGGTACAGTGACTTGTTCAAGAGTCACAGCTAAGGAAGGGCAGAGCTGGACTTGAACCGAGGTCTGACAAGATGGATCTCTCCACACTACGCTGAGTTCCAATCCAGCATCCAGCTTGAGCTCTGGGCCCCAGATCCCTGGGTCCAGCCCCACTCTGATGTCCAGCCATGCCTTGGTCTTCTGGCTCAGAGTCCTGAGGTGACCGAGGACTTCCAGACTTCTCCTCCAGTGTTCTCTCTGACTCACCGCTCTGCCCAATTGTTGCTGTCCCTGTGGCCATTGTGGCCTGGAGGGTGGGAAGCACAGAGTGGGAGAATGCAGAGCAGGACATGAGAGCTGGAGGGAGAACACTGGGTCCCACAGTAGATGGATGTCAGGTGCAGAAGGCCCCTCTGGGCATCTCTTTTTTAAACTTAGCACTTAGAACCAATTCTGAGATCCTTTCTGACTTGGCGGTGGGGGTGGTGTGCCATGGAGTCAGTTCCAACTCAGAGTGACCCAGCATAGGGTTTCTGAGGCTGTAAATCTTTATGGGAGCAGAAAGCCTCATCTTTCTACTGTAGAACTGCTGGTGGTTTCCAACTGCTGACCGTGCGATTACCAGTGGGATTTGTAACCACTATACTACCAGAGTTCCTTCCTTTCCAAATTGGACATTCCCAAAATCTGGACATGACCTTGTCCTCACCCTCTTTGGCCCCATAAGCAAAAAATGGTTCCAGAAGGGGCTTGGGGCTAACTGGGTCACCATCCCACATTCCAAGTCTGGAGACGGAGAGGCCAAGCCTTCTCAGGGAAGTTGGGATCCAAAGCCACATGATTCCTGAGCCACATCAAGGCACCCAGGCTATGGAGAAAAATCATATATGTACACATCACATATACAGAGAACCATTGTATCTCACAAGCAAGCACCCACCAGCACATACAAAGACATTCACTTATCACACACACACAGCAAGAACTCAGAATGCAGGCAATGCCATCCCATCAGAACTAAGGAAGCAAGTTACTAAACATATCAAACTTCCTCCAGAAACACCAAGCTGCTCAGCAACCAAATGCATTTCGAACCTCAGACTAGGGATAGGGAGGTCTTTTTAAATCCACATCCCCCAGAGACAAAAATAAAGCAAGAAAACTTCACCCAGGACCCCACCCAATCAAGAGTTAGGACAACCCATACAAGAGGGTCTCGTCTGCAACTACAGAGGGGCAGTAGTACCGGTCTGGACCCAGGGACCAAAGTGACCCTAGAGGGACCTGGGGCAGGCAAGGATGACCTGCTCATGGAATCCCCACCCATGACTTCCAAAGAGTCAAGCACCTACCTGGCGATAGCGGCGCTCCGAGCACACCTTGCAGAGCCCATTGAAGCGGTTCATGGCTGCAGGTCCTGCCTCGGCTGCCGCCCCATGAAAACCCAGCTCTCCCCCAGCAGCGGGAGCCCGCACTGCGCCCCGTCAGCCTGGCATGACCGCCCTGAGAAGCCCGCCCCGCAGAAGAATGGCAGGAAATCACCTCTCACCTCCCCTAGCCCTGTCTGCACTGTGTGCCTCAGCACGATAAGCCTGGAGGCTTCCTGAAACCTCAGAATGACAAGGAAGAGGGAGAGTTTTATATTAAAATTCCTGTCAACTAGTTAGTATTCCCCAGGCCCTGTCGGGGAGAGGGCGCCTTTGTTCTGGCTGCATTCTCCGCCATGGGCCACTTTGTGATTCCAGCTTTCTCACAAACACCCCTCCCTGGATGAGAACCCAGGCAGAAAACACGACGGCTCTACAGCAAGGCCACCTCCCCCTGCCAGACCCAGGATCTCCAGTGGCAAATGTGGGGTGTTCACCCAGCCTAAAGAATCCACGGTACCTTGAGGGTTGCACCTACAGACATCCCATCTCAAGACAAGAAACACAAAACATTTGCAGACACAGTAGCTGTCTGCCCCAGAAGTGAATTAGAAGTCCGTTTCCTCCATATAACTGGCTGCTTTAAGTTTATGGTGGTATGAAGACCATAGTTTCAAATATAAAAAGGATTTCCAAATCATAAGATGGCCTGTTGTTGTTCTTGTGAAATGCTGTCAAGTCAGTTCCAACTCTTAGCGACCCTGTAGAGGGTTTCCAAGAAGCAGCTGGTGAGTTTGAAACCCTGACCTTGTGGTTCAGACCAACATTGTGGTCCAATGCTTTATGCTACAGAGCCACACCGAGAGTTCTCATTTTAAAGATGAAGAAACCCAGGCCTAAAAAGTTTACAGCAGCACACAGGACAGTGGCGTTGCTGGGACCGGAACCCAGGCCTTGTCTCCTGACCTACAGCTCCAGGTCTCTTCATGTAAAACTGCACACGGCGGGCCCTTTCGCTCCCTAGAGACCACCCACTCACTTTCTTGATGCCAGAAAGTGTTCCTTAGTCTATCCCCACTTTGAATGTGGGGTGAGCATGGGCAGGTCACCCCAGTTTCTGGATCTCCATGTTCCATGTCCCCATTTGCACAATGATAAGAGTTGAAAAGTGACCTATCTTCCAACTCCAGCCAAACCTCTGAAAATCACCCACAAATTGTGGAGCCTCTTGGTATCTCTAAGTGTGTAAAAGTAGGAAATCAAGTGCACCTCAGAACAATGTCCCAGGGTGCAGGGCCTGTGGGCAGAATCCCACAGAATCCAGTATGAAGCAGGACTTTCCGAAGGCAGCTAGAAATCTGCCTCTTTGGCTCCCATGCAACCCCCATAAACCACCAGGGAAACTCCCTGGTCACCGTCCTAGCTCTCTGCTCAACAAGAACAGAGAAAGAAAAAGCTGTCTCTGCAACAACACCCCAGAGGTCAGAGGAAAGTTTGTAACCTTCCACAGGGGTAACAAAACCACAGAACAGAACCGGCGAGTTTCTCAGAGACCATGCCATCCGGGGAGGTAGTCACTAGTCACATGTGCCAGAATAAATTTCAATGACATTAAATTCAATTAAAATTCACTTCCTCAGCCACACTTGCCGCATTTCAAGGGCTGGATAACCATGGTGGCTGGTGGCTGTCATATTGGACAGTGCAGCTCTAGACTATGAGCTTCATGAATGCTGGGACCTTGGACTTGTTCCCAGCTGCATCCCTGCACCTAGGACAGACCATATAGATATTCAGGAAATATTTAATGACTAGGTGAGTGAATGAATGAATAAATTGATAAATGAAAAGGAAAATTTTTGTGGATTGTAATAAACCTATATATATGTAAGATTGCAAGGTATTGCTAATTGAAATGATCAGTGTCATCACCTCTCCCCAGATTACACTCAGGAGGTAGCATGTTGTGATGCTGTTTCCACGTCTGCTGTCTGTGTGGCCGTGGAGAGTGACCTATTATAGGCCTCTGTACCCAGCATGACCCTCTCTTGGGTGAAATGGGGAAATAACCGTCACATGGGAGGTCACAGTGAGGACTGAGTAAGATACAACAGCACTCAGTAAAGAGTGGATACTCAGTCACTGTTATTGTTTATTAAGCGCCGTGGAGTCGGTTCTGACTCATGGTGACCCTATACAGGGTTACGGAGGAGTGGCTGGTGGATTTGAACTGCCAACCTTGTGGTTCAAACTGACCTTGCAGTCCAGTGCATTATCCTGCAGCACCACACCAGGACTCCACTCAGTCACTATTGTTGTTAAGTGGTGTGGGTTCTGACTCATAGAGACCCTGCTAGGGTTTCCAAGCAGCAGCTGGTGAGCTTTAACTGCCCACTTCCGCTGTTCAAACCAACCTTGCAGTCCAGTGCATTAACCCACAGCCCCACACCAGGACTCCCCAACTCAGTCACTAGAAGTTTGTATTTCTCACTTTTCATGGTTAGAGGAAGGAGCCCTGCTAGCGCAGTTAAGCACTGGGCTGCTAACCAAGAGGTGGACGGTTCGAACCCACCAGCCACTCCTCAGGAGAACTATGGAGCAGTCTGCTGCTATACAGACTTACCATCTCCCAAACCCTATGGAACATTGCTATGATCGCTCTGAGTCTGAATCAACTTGAGAAGAGTAGGGTGGGTAATTGTCAGAGAACACCCTCTGTGCTCTGCAAAGGGAACAGAATGAATTTCAGAGAAACTTCCCAAATTCCTATGCAGAAGTCCCTGCTGTTGTATTGTTCAGTGTCATCCAGTCGGTTCCAACCCAGAATGACCCTGGACAGGGTGTCTGAGGTTGTAAAATTTGCAGCCTCATCTTTCTCACACAAATGTACCTAATGGAGTAGAAATGTGCTGGTCTCAGGATCAGAATCACTGTTTCCCAACACTAGGAGAACTTAACCTGAGGGGAATGTCCTACCACAGTGCCAGGTGAGAAGGCCTATGGGAAGGGGAGGGCTCCTCCATCCCCGGATGGGGCCAGCTTTCTCCCACCTTGAATTGCCCATGGAAAGCACTCATTTACTACAGTACGCCTTAGGAAAGTCAAGAAAGACCCTTCAGAATCCATGACATGCTGGGTTCTTAGCACCATAGGAGCACAACCCTCAGACACCGAATACTGGGTCAAGGACTAGCAGGAGCAATGCTCAGGTACTGTCAGCCCCACCCAGGGTCATGCCCTCATACCTGGAGTTCATCTCCATTCTCTGTGTCCCCACTTCTAGGCATTCTCAGCGGTGGGTCTGGAAGAGGACAATGCAGAGTCAGAAAGCTTCTGCTGGCATGTAGGGGCCCCTCCACAAGTCACCTAGAGGACAGGGCTGAAGGCACAGGCCACTTCTGCCTTCCAGGGTGTGAGGATGCCCGAGGCTCAGTCCAGACAGGAACACAGAACTAAAAAAGGTGCAAAATCCAAGTCCTGAGCCTTAGGACTTATGACAAAATCTAAAACGCCTTGTCCATGAGGTGGGCACAGGCAGGAACTGGATTTGTGATGCAGAGTTTGCCCCTGCCTGCAAGGCCGCTCAGAGGGGATCCCTGGGACCATTCTAGAACCTTCTGAGCCCAGCCCTCCATCAGTGAGTGCTGCCATGTAGGGTCAGATCCATAACCTTCTCCTAAGAAAGTTCAGCCAAATAAAAAGAGGTGCCACAGATGAGAGACCTTCTGCAGCCAAAATTCTCGACAGGGTCCTGGGACTCTGCAGCTTGGTCACAGCCTAGGGGGACAAGGACCACAAAACACAGGGACAGAGGCTACTACTCAGAAACACAGAGGAGGGGCTTGGGGAGCATGTGCAGGCAGAAGCTGAAGGACTAGGTGCTTCTTTCTCATGGTCTGCACCAAGGCTCCCTTGGTGTCGTGAACCAGGTCTCACTCACCTTTCAGGTGCCGTAGTCGCCTCCGGGCCACCTTCAGGTGCTTGGTCCGGCCCAGGTCCTCCCCCAGAAGATAGTACCAGCCGCTGATCTCCTGTCATGAGAGAATGGGTGATGTGCTCAGGCAGAGGTGGCCGGGGGACACAGGTCGGTCAGTCACCAACTCCCACAAGATCAGTACCTGAAGACCCTCCCTCAGGAGCAGTTTTCTCCATGGAGACAGACATGCTCTGAAGGCTCCAGTGCCTGCCCCTCCAGGAAGCCTTCCCTGATGCTCCGAGCAGTTTCCATGGTGTCTTAGCCCTAGAGGACAATCATCTATTTACAAACACAGGCTCCTTGGTGTGCCTAGCACCTGGGCCTGGGATACCATGTTGTTGTTAAGTGTCATCGAGTCAGTTCCAACCCATAGCAACCCTGTATAGGGTTTCCGAGGAGCAGCTGGTGAGCTTGAACCACCGACCTTGCAGTTCAAACAGCTTTGCAGTCTGACGTATTAACCCACAGTGCCACATCAGGACTCCTGATATACTATAGGAGTCTGATAAATGTTTGTTGGAAAAATAGAAGGGAGCCCAGAAAGCAGGCACCCTGAGGCTCCTGAGCAGCCCCCATGGGGGAACATTTTCTCCCTCGGAAATGAAGCTGCAGCTAAGAGAAGAACCACTAAGACTAACAGATGAGTGAAGGGTCCTTATCATCTTCCCCCAGAATTCTCCACCAGGACACAAAGCTAGACAGCAGGGCCACCTGGCAACTCCACGCAACAGACCACGAGACATCTCCAGGGTGTATAAAAGGAGAGTGTCCCTCCCCTGATCACGATCTTTCCATTTAGGGGTGAAGTGGAGAGTGGATATGGATAAGGGACAAGCCACCTAAAGGAAGTGGTATTTAAGTCCCCCAGAGCCTCGCCCAGCTTGAAGGAAAGTTCGGTAGAGGACGGTACTGCTTCCTCCATCCCTCTGTCTGTGCTAGACCCAGAATCTTGAGACCTGGTAGATGACCATGGATCAAGGGAACCCTGAAGCAGACCATGATAAGCACCTAGCCCTTCTCCTCCAAGGCTGGTCCAAGAATGTTCTGACCCCCGAGGGACCTGCCAATGTCCACACTGGCAGACACCATACCCTTCTGGGAGGACTTTGGACCACCTGACAACTTCTCTCAGGCAAGAGCAAACCCAGAAAGGGTCTCAAGCCCTACTCAACCAAACAAGTGACAAACACAGTGTGATTATTCAGACCACTG